TTGTAGTGGTAGTGGTGGGAGAAGCAGTAGTAGTAGTAGTAGTAGTAGTAGTAGTAGTAGTAGTAGTAGTAGTAGTAGTAGTAGTAGTAGTCGTAGTAGTCGTAGTAGTAGTAGTAGTAGTAGTAGTAGTAGTAAGTAGGAGTGATTCGGACGGCTCGGGGGGGAACTTTCTAGTTGTGATTCGGACGGCTCGGGGGGAACTTTCTGGCTGCGATTCGGACGGCTCGGGGGGAACTTTCTGGTTGTGATTCGGACAGCTCGGAGGGAACTTTCTGGTTGTGATTCGGACGGCTCGGGGGTGGTGGTGGCAGTCATGTAGGTGTAGGTGTGAGGCGCTCATTTACCCGTGGTGTGGGAGGGCGAAAGCCCGATGTCGTGTAAGGCAAAGCTTGGCGAATGTAGGAAACGGCAAGTACCTCAAGCCTTCGTACAGGGCTAGAGGTGCCTACTGCACGGTGTATCATGTAGAGCCCAGGCCTTGAGCCACAAGTACAAGCAGTAGTAGTAGTAGTAGTAGGAGTAGTAGTAGTAGTAGTAGTAGTAGTAGTAGTAGTAGTAATAGTAGTAGTAGTAGTAGTAGTAGTAGTAGTAGTAGTAGTAGTAGTAGTAGTAGTAGTAGTAGTAGTAGTAGTAGTAGTAGTAGTAGTAGTAGTAGTAGTAGTAGTAGTAGTAGTAGTAGTAGTAGTAGTAGTAGTAGTAGTAGTAGTAGTAGTAGTAGTAGTAGTAGTAGTAGTAGTAGTAGTAGTAGTAGTAGTAGTAGTAGTAGTAGTAGTAGTAGTAGTAGTAGTAGTAGAAGTGGTAGTAGTAGTAGTAGTAGTAGAAGAAGAAGAAGTAGGTAGTGGTAGTGGTAGTGGTAGTGGTAGTGGTAGTGGTAGTGGTAGTGGTAGTGGTAAAGGCTACGTTGAGGCTTCGCAAGCCGCCAGAACACATCCAATATCGCCTTTGACTTGCACAAAGGAGCGAAGCGGAGGCTACGCGGCCCACTATCGAAAGGCTGCGCGGTTCGAGGACTAGGCTGGGCGGCAACGATGGCAGCTCCCCTCTCCTTTTTAAGGTTCTTTCATTTCAAAAGAGAACGCTACTCGTTGCGCACGTTGTATCCATTCGCGCCATAGCATGCTCACGACCATCAAATAGCCTGCCCAGGAAGCCTTCAGCTCCTGGTGACGTTCCTGGGGTACCCAGCAGCAGTGCCGTCCAGAGAAGCGACAAAAGACTGCATGTTCTGATCCTGCAAGAGTTCAAGCATTTTCACGTGCTCAAGATTTGTCGAGACCATTGCATAGGTTGATGCTTCAATCATGTGTTCCCTGAACACCAAGCGGGTTCCCTCTCAGGATTCCTGGGCTCACCTGAAATCAAAGCGCTGGCTACACTCGCCTCTGACCATTTCCGGCCGCTCCGAGGTGTTTGCTTCACTGGCCTGGGGCTTTGTTGCCTCAGCTCAGGGCTTGACAAAGAGTACAATGCAGTTCAGTTCTATGTCCTATGCAGTTTCCTAGTACTGTATTTGGTTATCAGAGATGGCTTCAATCGAGCCCAATCCATCCTGGTGCCTGGAACATTCGGCCAAGCACTCATCTGCTCCGGGCGGCATTTTCAGGTTCAGCTTTGGCACCTTGGCCTCAGGGCACATCGCACACCCTTTCCTTGGCTCGCCTTCGGGCCCACCTTTGCAGCTGCCGCGGACACCTTTTGAGGGCCAACCTGAGATGGCCAGCTTGAGCAGCCGCGCCGTTGCTTCGTAGGAGCAACGAGCGATATGGAAGAGGGATACAACCCTCATCAAGCGTAACTGCGTCATAGTACCCGTGCTCCGAGAAAAAACACACGTGGCTGTCGCAAGGGTCTGTGTTGGGCTGGCACTGGAGCTCAATCAACAGGGGAAGTGGAGTCAAAGGTTACACCACCAACTTGGCGTCCAAAGTAGCTGATGACTTTGTTCTTAGGGATGGGCGTGGGAGTCTAGTGCTGATAATGTTGGCGATGCTCGGAGCGATGCCCCCAGGACCAGTCCGAGCTAGCAAAACTCCCTCATGACCAGGCACTTGAAGGCATGGAATTGATTGATTCGATGACACGCTTGTTGTGGTTCGGCTTGGTTTAGCAGCTCTCAGTCTCGTGGTGCCAGCGCGGGTACGGGACAAAGGTCTCAAATTACTTCGCTTTTCGCTTCGATTTGTCACTTGCCAAAAGCCCTTCGGGCCTCCTTCGGGCCCAGCGTGCGTGGAGTGACCTCAATTGCGGGCAAGCTGATCCGTGACATTCGCTCTCCAAAGAGCACAAAGAGCACACTTGCTTGCAGCACTTCTGGTTTCCGGCTGTTGCGCAAGCAGATTGAACTGAGGGTGCTGCCAGCCCGTTTTGTGACTGCTGACTGCCTCTTGTGCGGAATGATTCAGCTGTCTGTGTGTGTGTGTGTGTCCTTATCTAAGTGCACAAGTGTTGAAGCCACCAGCAGAAATGAGAGGAGACCAGGTTGAAAATCTCTGAAACAAGCGACATGTCTTCTGACTACCGATTACCTGGATTTGTTGCAGCCCGGTCGGCCTGGCAGACTCCTTCTTGGAGTGACAATTTCCTGCAAGCACACCACTTTGTGGTCTCTCCAGGTGCCCTGGATTCCCTAAATGGTTTCCAGCTGCCCCAGTCCTGGCTTCCAACACTTTTCGGACTCGTTGGACCTCAAGGCTGCGGCGAAGTGTGCTGATCCCCCCCATGATAAACCAAACGCATCGTGGCGAACTTAGTGCTAAGGCTCTGCAGTCACTCTTGCTTGCTTGAGCATCGCACGCTCTGGCAAGCGGATTGGAAGCTTGGATTGCTCGGCCTACGTTCTGATTCTGCAAGGGTACGCAATTGTCCATCTGCATTATCCGAATCTCCCACGTCTGCCTGCGATGGTCCAAGGCGTGGCGACACCTTAGATTCTGACATCTGAGTCATAGTCAAGACCTGGTATCAAAATGGTCTACCCAGAATCATGTCAAGACTTGAAAAGGTGGCAGCACCCATTTTGGGCTGGGATTGTCCCTTACTGCCTTCCAATTACCCGGGTGTTGATTGTGACTCTGAAAATGCCATGGAACTTTTTGTTCAGAAACTCTCGTGGCTCCGTGTGGAGGATCTCAGCATGGCGCGGGCTCGGAGACCACGCTGCAAACGCTGACGCTGCTGCTGCCTGGGCTTGGGATGGTTCGGCCGTTCGGCCTCTGCCATCCACTCGAATACTCCCCTCACCTCTGCGTGGAGAAGCGTCGCTGTCCTTAGACAGGACGCGACGCCGTTTGAAAGCTTGAACCGTGCTACATTGATACACGCAGGGTGCAAGCAAAAGGTCCAGGACTGGAAGAGTAGGGCACAGGCTGTTTTGCCTGGTTCCATGTTCTGAATGCGCCTGAAGCTCAGGCAAGCTCAATCTGCGCTCATGGCCAACGGCAAATCTGCTCATCAAAGACCCTTCTATGACTGTGGCCTCGCAAAGCTGGTGCCAGAGGCCTCACACATGCATCGAACTCTCGCGATGGTGAGGTAAGAACCAAGGGACTCACAACAAGGCCCAGGGCAAAACAACTTGGCTCTGTCAAGTCTTGCTTCCGTGAACCCGCACGGCAAACATTTAACACATTTACTGTTCTACGAATGCTTGGCGATGTCGTTGCCTTGCATCGATCAGCGGAGCTCGAGAACTGTCTCCACTTTGCCTAAGCAACACACATTGGGTGCAAATTGCCAGAAGCCCTGAAGCACTGACTTCAAACCTCTCCGTTCAAACCCTGCAACATCCACATTGAGTAGAATCTGGCAAGTCCAGATCACCCAGTCTAAGCTTCCCAGCTGGGTTCCCATCAATCTCATTCCAGCTCGTTTTGACCATGTCCAAGAAGCCAGAAATGTATCCAAAGAACCTGGGCGAGAGGCGATGCTCTGCATAAAGCTGCGAATTGAATGAACTGCACAAAGTGGCAACAGCTGTACGCCACACGTTAGTGCAGGTTGTGCTTGTCCCTCTCTCTCTCTCTCTCTCTCTCTCTCTCTCTCTCTGAGCATACCAACTGTTCTGGTGGAACGCGTTGAAGCTTAGCAGCCTGGATTTTTTGGCAAAGGAACCTGGTTCGCTTGTTTGGCTTCCTTCGCATTGTCCCGTACTTTTGGCACAATACCCAACGGGCTGACGCACTGCAAGAATCAAGTAAAGAAATCGGTCTTGGCAAGTAAAGAAATGTGTTTTCTTGTGAAGGCCCTAAGAAAAATCGGCGCTTCTCGACGCGCTTCCAAGTCCTGCCTGGCTGGTCTCCTGGTCAGGCTTTGGATCCAATCGAGTCATGCCCAAACGAGTTCTTGGCCAAGCCAGCCAGCCTCCGACCGTTGAGTCATATTGAATCATTCCAAACTCCGAATCCTTCCGTCCTTGTCCCGTCCAGGAGAGCCAACTGTGCCGGTGGTGGAAAAGTAGCACTGCACGTCCACGGAAGCCTCCGACTTCCGACGGCCGCGAATTGCACTGAAAACAAGCGATAGCTATGCTGACTTTTTGGCTTTGCACTGTCTCAAAAGCTGCGGGGCCTGTTCGGCTTGCGCCAGCTGGATACGCAGCTGATGTGCCTGGCGCGCTCGGTTCGCCATTTCGAGTTGATCACACCATTCCCTCAACGAAGTGAAGCGGCCAAGTTGGCTATCGATTGAAGTCTGCTGAAGCGAAACAGCAAACAAAAATGCAGTCGATCGTATGCATGCTGGGTGCATCAATGGTGTGCCGCTTGCGTGAGCGGGTGCAAGTGTTTTTGGCAGTGTTTGTTCCGGCATGCGTCATTTCAGCATGGCATTTTACCGAGTGCGAGGGCCCGGCCTGCCAGTTGTAGTCCTCCACGAGCATTGCCAGCCTCTCTCTGGCCAGCACCTTTCTCAGCCCGGCTTCTGAGTACAAGCAAACTGAAGCCGCTGTCTGATAGCAACATGCCCTACTGATCACGACAGGCAGCGGCGCTTGCTTGCTTTTTCGCTTGGGCGAGAGCTCCTTGTGCACCCCTTAGCCCTTCAGAACTCGCGCACCGCGGCCACGGCCCTTGCCCATTGGCATGCCCTGCGCACGGGGACTGAAGTTGACGTATGTTGAACGGGGCAAATGATTCCCTCTAGTTTGTGCAGGGACGACTGAATGACTATGAATGAATGACTTGAATGACCCGGTGCAGCCCACAACTTACGGCACGTGTCCGCCGAAAGCGGGTAAGCCCTCACCCCTCAACCCAGCCTTGCCCTTGCCCTTGCCTTTGGGCCCCGCTTGAGGCTTTTCGCTCTGCCTCGGCGACTCGAAGTGGCGTGAATACTGGCAGCAGCCACTTCCAAGGCACGGGTTCTTCACCGTCTCATCGATGGAGAGAATCAGGCACGCAGCCTCTGTTGCTGCATTGAGAGCACTCTCCTTGACGAGGACAGGCTCCCAAATATAGCTCTCAAAGGCGTCGCACACCTGAAGGACATGATTCGTAACTCCTCTCTGCATGCAGCGAGCTCAGATCACGCCAGTCTATCATGGTGCGGCAGCCAAACATCTCTCCGACAGTCTGCGCCCCATTCTGCCAGGCTGGCCTCGCAGTTGATGCAATCCACGCCGAACCAGCGGCCCTCCGGCCCGGCTGTCGCATGCTTCTGCCGGAGTTGGTTCAACACTTTCGTCCCATCGGCACCGCTATTCTGTGCCAAGGTCATGGGGATCACCTGGCACTCCCGAATCACCCGAATCTCCTGATCCCCATTTGAAAACTCGCCACTCCCCATTTGCGCCTCTAGGGCACGCGCAAAATAGTTGATGACCAGCTGCTGTTTGCCACTGATGGTCCGTGCGTACTCCCGAAGGTAGCGGCTAAGCTCCATTTCAATGGCGCCCCCGCCGCCCACGACCTTTGTGTTCTTCATGGCTCGCCGCACAATCCTCAGTAGCATGGCGTAGCACCCTCATAGTCTGTCGCCTTGAAATGACACGACGGGCAACTCGTGCTCAGTCCAAGCATCATGAGCGAATCATTCAGCGATCGCTCGGCTTCGTCAATGAATTGCTGAGCGCCGCCCCGGATCAGGATAGTGGCTGTCTTGGTCTTCACCTTGGCTGTGCTAAGGCTCAAAGAGCATTTGTCCCGTTCACCTTTGGACATTTCGATGTTGCGGAGTCCAGGCCAAGATGCACACTTGGTGAAGAAGTTGAAGCGCTCGGCACCCACCTGCACTTCCTCAAACAGGCCGCAGTATCCCAGAACGTTCCTCAGAGATTGACATCTGGGCTCGGCTAACTCTGGCTTCCACATGACATGGCTGCTAAAGGATTGTGAATTTGGACAAAAAGTGCAAAGCGTCTGCGTGATGCCCTGTGCAGTGGTCTGCACCTCGGCACCGGTGGCGCGCCTGGTCCGCTCCAGGTCTTCCACCTGACGGACGTGCAAAACAGCGGCAAGACACCTGCGACGTCTCTGGTGGATACATGATCTAGCGCGAGTAGATTGCATGTGGACATTCTGCAAAACAAGGCAACTGGGTTTTTCTCCATGCAACAAGGCTCACATGAAAAAGCTTGCCAAATGCATGAGACTGGTGACAAGACAGCTACCGGACACGTTTTGAGCGAGACACTGAAACGACTAAACCGCTTAGATGCTTCCCGATCTGCGAGTGCAAGCAAGGCAGCCCTAGGAGGGACTAGGAAGATCCTGTGGCTTGCAACGGATGCCACAAAGCCGTTTGGCTCAAGGCTCAAGCTGCGCCGAACGGGGCTTTTGAAGCTGATTGCAAGGCACGCTCAGTCTGCACAATGCGAGGCTCAGGACAACTGGCTCCAGGCAAAAATGCGCTGCTGAAATTCTGTAAAGCACAACTCGAAAGCTGATGGCAAAGTGTGCTGCGGCTTTCAGAAAATGAGAAATCTGCGGTAGAAGCAGCACACCCATACTCTCAAAATTACAAATCAACAAATAGGAGGGGTAGGTCCGACAAATCACGGTCTTACTTAGAAGCCCTTTGACCAGCCATGAGTGTAGTTCGGCCTACTGCTGACACCAGTGAAGAGTGTGGCAGGCTTGTGCTTCCCCTGGTCACTGCAAGAAACTGAATTCAAATGACCTCAGAACCATGACACTGTTACATATATATATATATACACATGCTATATTCGCTGCAAGTGTCAGCGACAGAAACATTCACAAGCATGAACATCAGAGTGGACCTCATGTCAGACACACACACACACACACAACTGGAGTTGGAACCCCCATCTTTGTCAGCAAGGCCGGCAAGCACAGGTCATTGAATGGCTCAAACTCCTGCCTCCAGGCGCCCTGCACAGAAAATGTTACGGTCGGCAAAATACCTCGAACGGCCAAGCTTGTGTTGGGATGGCCCCGGCCGCGTACAACGCGCACAACTGCCTCTGAAAGCTTTGAGTAGAGCTAGCTTATGTTATGTTCAACACGTGATCGGAATCATGCTTGTAGCAGCCTAAGGCCTCTCAAAGCCATGGTGCTGTGTGGCAAGGTCGCCAATGGCCAGGCGGCTGAGCACCACATTGGCACCGGAGTTGGCGATGAGGTCAAGCTTCTCCTTGCTTGGAGTAAAGCAAGGACAAGAAAAAACCGTACATTTGGCCAAACTCATGTTTAGCTTGCCAACTGAGTGTCGTAGATGATGTTCCATTCAGCATCCACGATGGACTGGTATTGATCCGGATCGGATATCCTGACCTCAGCATTGTCCTTCTCTGCCTTGAGCTCCAGCTCCAAGTTCAGAAGCAAAATCTTGGCGTTCTCAAAGCGCTTTGGCTGCTGCTCAAAACCCGCGTAGGAGAAGCATTTTTTGAAGCACACTCCTTCAACCAGGATGGTGTCTGTGACGGAGCCGCCGGTCACCTTCTTGATGCCCACAGACGACACAGACAAATCGTCACCCAACATTGTGATAGCATCCACAGACATTGCGGCAAAGAAGGACTTGTAGTCAGCCACCAGCCTCAATTCACGACACACGCGCATCTTGACTGCGGCCGCATGGGCAGCATGGGCAGGCATGGGCTCATGAGGTCGCCTAGTGTCACGGCTGTGCGTTTCACGGCAAAAAGCTGTTCGTTGCAATGGCCCCAACCCTTCAAGGTCGAGCGGCTTCGAGTTCAGAGTGGTTTCTGCACACTTGATGAGCATGGTCCGCTTCTCCTCTGGTGATGTTGTGTTCTTCAGGTCCACTGCCATGTCCAAGAGCTTCCCAACGGCCAGATTGCAGGCAGTGCGGTAGCCCTTCCGTCACAGTAGTGGCCAGCACAAAAACATGTACAACGAATGGCATGCCTACAATTTGCATCCGGAATGATCCGCGAACCTATGATCTGCAAGATGAGCACATCAACAAGTGAAATGAACTTAACGAACTGGGGGTACGTCTCTTTAGCTCTAACAAAGCTTCACCGCACCTTGATGATCTGCGGAGCGACAAGGCCGTCTTCGAGAAAGCTCTTTGCCTCCTTCAGCAATTCGCCTCATCAGTTGGCTGGGCTGAGTTTCGCTGAGCTGGCGAAGCATTCGGCGCAGCTCGCAATGGACTGGAACTCTCCCTGCCTGATAACACCACCACGCTGGTGGTGCCATCTCCTACTTCGTTATCCTGGGCCTTGCTGATATCGACAAGGATCCTTGCTGCTGGGTGTACCTAGCCAACTGTCTCTTGGGTGAACAAGACTGCCGTGGCTCAAGACTGCCGTGACAACCATCACATAAACAAGATTCAACACGATTTTGCCGGCCAATCCCAGTGCCATCATGTGGCGATATTCAACTTCTTCATGACAGTGGCCCCGTCATTGGTGATGATGGTGCCATGTCCTTCTTCTATGAGTTTGTCCATTCCTCGAGGTCCCAATGTGGACTTCACAATGCTCACTACCTCGGCGCTCGAAGACACAAACACCACACCTCTCAAAGCATGAAGTGATCATGAAGGAAGCTGTGCTGACATGCAATCTCGGCTGAGGTATGTGCAGCTTGGCATGCATTGATATTGCTGATGATCTGATTCTTTCCCTGTGAGGCATCTGTCCCATCCTTCAGCTCACACTCATCACACTCGTCCCACTCGTTACACTCTTTTTGTGCTTCTTGATTGTCCCCCGGCCCAAGCTCAGATGATCGAAATTGGTTGGTTTGCTTCTTGGTGTTTGCATTCAAACCGCCAAAGAAGGTAAGCTCAATGTTGAGACATCCAAGTGGAGTCAACACAATGAGCAAGACAGCACTCCTTCAAGAGGATGATCGGCGGCTTCATCATGTGCGCCATGGCGAGCGTGAGGGATGAGCGCCCCGCTCTGCCCTCTGTGCCAACGCTATTTAAGCCCCACGCCTGCATCCAAGCCGTTTGCACAAGCCCGGGCCCAGCTTTGCCGGTGGAAGACCATGGAGCTCAAGTGCACAGCTTTGAACTCCTAATGTTATTGGATACCAAGCTAATGGCTTACACATGAATTTTCAGTCTGCAAGACAATCCATCTATCATGTTGCTTGTTGGTGTCCCGTTCAGCCACATTCAAACGTCAACCCAACAACAACTTGGGCAACCAAGAGTGTGATGCCGTGGCTATCCCACGACCAATAAGAACGACACGAGTCTCGCAACATTGATGTTCTTTGTGGACTTGGAGAGTCGTCCCAGCTCCCTCCGCATCCGGCACCTCCTCGGTCGCCTCTGGCCATGGCATCTCCTCACTGCTCAGGCAATACTCACAAGTACAACACATTCCTTGACTAGCTTGAGGCATGACATGGCATGACACTTGCTCCAAGTGCCCGGCACTTGGCTTCTCTTCGCCTTCGGCTGGGCCTGCGCGAGTTGCGCAGTGAGAAGTCACTGTCATTTCAACGCCATCCAGCCCAATGCAGTCAACACGCCGGACGCTCCTGCATCGCCTTCAGCTGCTTGGACGACTTTAGCCTGGCAGAAGGTAAGCTGTAAAACCAACCTGAAACCTGAAACTGCATCTGCCACGTTTGAGAAAGGCTCGGCATCCAAGCGGAAGTGCCAGAGACCACCATGACATGAATGCCATGTTGCATTTGTGAAAGCTGTGGCGAATGTGGCATGCAACCTTCTCAACATCGCATCATGTCCCAAACATCTCCCTCAGGTGTCCTCACCTTCCCTGTCTGGATCAAGTTGTGGCATGAACTATCATTGTGAGTTCAAGCCTCAAGCCACTTGACTACCTCCGAATGTGAGCTTGTTTTTTGCTTCATGCGCCTTCGGTGCAGCGGTCATCTCCCGCAGCCTTGCCCGAGCAAAGTTCACCTGCGGCTGGCTACGCTGAAGCCAAGCGTTGCGTACAGTGGCAAGCCATTTGTTCCTGCTCGTCATAATGTAATACTCATTGTTCAGAGTTTGTGTAGCACATGTCCATGAGCACTGAGAGCCTCGAAACGCCCCGAGCATACCAGTGCATGAAGGAAGCTGCCTCCCTACGAGTGGTTATATATAGTTGTGTGGCGGCGTGGCGGTTATTTAAAATGTCTTGTTCCCGGAAACGCCATCTCCGTGGAAAATAACAACTTGTGCGGCCTCCTCCATCGCGGATCTTTCGCGGGGCGAATTCACAACATTCATCACAAAAGTAGTACGCAAAGTGCAATCCCACAGTCTGGCTTGGAAGTCGTCCCAACTGTTCAGTACGAAAGTAGTACGCGAAGCAAACAGCCGAAGCCCCAGCTCGAAAGCCGTACAGCAGCATAGGAGGGGACCCGTGTTGCCCACCCATGGAGGGAAGGTTTATCTACTTTCGCGGAACTTTCGCTAAACATTACCGAACATCCGGCTAGAAAGTCGCGCTCAACTGGACCCGAAAGCTTGACAACTCGAACATGCTGGGGCTTCCTTCCTTCGCACGACGCACTTTTGTTGATAACTATGTGCATTCTGCGCGCACAGGCAGCAAATACACACGGTTCACTCATCACACTTTCTTTTAGCAAAGCACCCTTACACAAAACGTTTGCGAGAACAACAATATGATTTACGACCTCCGTCGCGACTCTTCCCGGAGGGCAGCACTAAGACTGTGCACAGAAGACAAAACGTCCTCCCTTCACATCTGAATATAACCACCTTTCCGACGACTCCCATGTATCTGTAACACAATGTATGGGCAAGAACAGTTCGGCATTGCAGCTGCGCCTCGCCCAGGAATGTCTCAACCTCTGCTCGGAGTTGAGAGAACCTCTCCTGGGCAGGTGCTGCCTCTCACAGGCGGCACCTCCTTTGCCTTGAGCCTTGTGCTATGTAAACTATCAAATGACAGCGACAGTGGCGGCAGTGGCGACAGGTCTTGACAAGTTGTTGTGCAATGCGTGCAACACGGAGTCAGAAAAGCTTTTTCAATCAGGTCCTTCGCAGCCAAGCGCACATGCTTCAGGCTGTCCTCGAGGAAGGACCTGAGCGATAGCGATGTCTGGAGTTCAGATGTGGAAATCAGAATGAGGTACAAACGTTCAAGCATCCTTCTGGGGAGCTGGCAAAAAGCTGGTGTCCGAGGCACGCATAGTGATGCACAAGAAGTGCATGCAAGAGATGCATCCAACCTTAGCTTTGAAAAGAGAATGCGATGGAAAATGATGGCCTGGTTGCCACCATTTCTTCCGGCGATTGGTTACCAATGAGTCAAGGATTTGCTTTCTGCTCGTGCTGCCCCAGCCTTGAAGTTGGCCAAGGACTGCAGAGATTCGATGCTGAAGGCGCGAACTTGCACAGCCTGCCCAAGCGGTGCGCTAGCATTGGCTCGTGTTCACTGGATGCCTCTGGCCTGCTGCTCTCCCGGTTCGCCATTGATATAATTGCCTGCCTGCACAAGTCAGCCGACTGCGGAAAACACAAGTTGCAATTGAAGTGCGGCCTCAAGGATGACTGCAAGCAGCTCTTTGAACTGGGGACTGTTCCTCTGCACCAAAGAATCTTCGCAGGGCGGAAAAGGGGAACCAATGCGACTAATGCATCCATGATAGTGGAAGACAGTAGGCGTCCTGGTCTGTTCAGCGGCGCCTTTCAGTACCTCATCTGATGGAGAAGCAGCAAGGCTTCACTTTCACAACCAGGGAAACACAGGAACATGTCTCCCTCCTGTAAGCAATTTGGACACACGGCAATAGTGCGTCAACTGTGTTTCAATGCGTTTCATGATGTCAACCTGTCGACACTGCCGGATCACCCACCGGCAACCAATGTCAAACAAAATGATCACGTTGTGCCGATTGGCACTATCTGCAACTTGTAAAAATGCCATGCTCATGCCAGGCGTGCTGTTCAGCATGCAACATATCCCGTGGCACTGGCGGCTCTCTTGTAGGCTGGGCAACCCAAAACATGAAGGGAAGAAATTGAGCCGCACACCTTGCAGCGCTGCATGAGGTTATCGCAGGTAAACCTCAGCATGTCAGGACATGCACCCACCCAACTCAAGACCCATCCTGCATGTGTTCTCCTTCAAATTCGGCGTGCTGCTTTGAGCCTTTGAGCAGCTTGTTGCAAAATTGGTTGGCTGCACGTGCTCCGCCCTCCCAGTGGCATCTCTCAAAGTGCAAGGTGGAACTGGCGCAATTTCCTTGGGCTAGGGTGGCGACATCTGTTTAGGCCAGCACACTGGTGAGGTATCAAGTGCCCCAATGATTCCAATGACTGTATAGCAGAAGTGTCATCACACTGACTGCTTTGGGGACTTGGATGGTGAGATAGTTGGGGTTAAGAAGCAGCGAGGCCAAAATAATCCTACAAAACACGCATGCATCTGATCGGGTTCTTGATTGATTTCATCGAGCAATATCAAGCACTCTCTTGTGGATGATGAAAACCAGCGCAACCGAACTTGCCCTGCCCGAAACGAGACAGGCGCCTGTGTGTGTATGCGCCATGGATGGCAGTTGGTCTTCCCTTTCAAGTCACTCTTGAGAATTGATGACGGTCGTGTCGCTCAATCATAGCTCCGAGATGTGGGCTTGTGTGTCAAGGCGAATTTCATCACCTGCACACCAGCCATACCCTGAAAAGTCTTGCTGGGCAAGTAGGAGAACCGAAACTTGAGCTACAATTCATGCGTCCAATGCTTGCAAGAGCATGAAGGTTGTGCATGCTCCTAGCCTTGATCCTTGCCGGACTGAGGCTGCACAGCGGCATCATCCTGAACGAGTGCATGCCAAAGGCAGCCTCCAAATCTCAAAGCTCCGAGAGAAAAAATAAATCTCGACCAATGTGGCTGAGTCCAACCCAGGGCCAATCCCGACAGCCTCCTCTCGACATCGCGTAAGTCTTCCACCTGAGCTCCAAGCATCTACCCACATAAGTGTGGGTGTATTTCAAGAGGCATGCCTCCCATCTCTCCCGTATGTCTCAAGTGCGCCTTGTGCTTCTGCGCTTGGAGTTTGGTCACCTTCAACGGACCCCATGAGACCAAGAGACGACTGCGGACTGCGGCCTCCGAGGCCGTGGGCATCGCCACGTTGAGAAGATCCACGTGGTCCGCCTTCAGCTTCTGCTGCCCTGTCCGGTGATGTCCGGTGTCTTCATGTCTTCATGTCTTCATGTCTTCATGTCTGCATGTCTGCATGTCTGCATGTCATTCAAATAACTTCAAGCTTGCATGTCATTGCATGTCATTGCATGTCATTGCATGTCATTGCATGTCATTGCATGTCATTGCATGTCATTGCATGTCATGCGTGTCCATGGCAAATGCCCCTGCCGCAGTCCCTCTCGCCTGTGTCAAAGCAGCGGATGGATCGGCTGAGCTCCTCGACACATGCTCTCAGCAGTTTAACCGTCTCGCTACAAGAGCTGATCGCCACCCGGAGAACAAGAGACGGACACCGCATCCAAAGCCACTTTGCCAAATTTACAGATTCCCATCTAAGGAAAAATGTCGATGATGCTAATGCCCACATGCCACAACTCTGCATCCCCAGGCCTCAGTGCTGATGGCAAGTTTTGTGAGAACAATCGCCTGCGAAGCAGCAAACATGGCAGGTCGATTGCGTCTATTGCAGGGGCTTTATGTGATTGAGTGCTCTCCGCTCAGCCCGCTTGAATCGTAAGTCTGCGCAACAAAAGTTGCAGTCACTGCCCCCGGGCTGAGCAGCCGCACAATGTTGTGAGCTCGGCTGTTGTCCAAAAGGCAGATACCTGGCAGATACTATTACTTTTTCAGCTCAACCACTAGTGATGAGACTGGTCAAACTAGCTAACCTTCTCAGCAGTGTGTCCATTCAAGTCTGCAAAGTACATGTCGCCAAGCAAGCTGCCACGTCCTCTGTCCCACATGCTCGAGCCATCATGGCAAAGCTTGATCTTCTCGACTTCTCACAGCGAGGCCTTGTGGCTTTGGCCCTGTCCAGGATTTGCGTGGAGTGGCAGTTGGAGTTCTGGCGCCTCGGCCATGTGATGTGATGAGCGACAAAACGGCACCGGCCACATTCAGCAAAGCACGTGCCTTCTGTCGAATTGCATGCCAAAACCGTACTGGATCCAAGGCGGCCACTGCGAGGGGTGAACATCGCCTTGGCTTCAATGTAAGCATTGCTTTCATGAAGCCGAGACTGGTGAATCACCCAACATAATACAAGGATACCCAAACTCTGAGCATCGTCAAATTGCTGAACATATCCCAATGTGTATATACAGACCACATGTCTGGTGTGTCTGTGTCTCTGTCCCTGTGTCTTTGTTTCTGACTCTGCATCTCTGCTATCACAACTTTGCCGCTGTCAGCAACAACTCCCATGACTTGTGTTGGACATTGAAGGGCAGTGAAGTGGTAGCAACTTGGCAATGTGAGCATTGGCATAAGCACGGCAATCAAGCTTTCCCAGAGCAACATGGAGCTCTCCGGAATAGAGCTTTACATCATCTTACATCAAAAGCTGCCATCTTCTGTGAATTGTGCGCTTGTGCGGCTGAGCAGCGTCCATAAGGTCTTTGTCAAACTGAAGCTTTGGCCTGGCAATCATAGCACTCAGTGACTAGCAAAACCATCTTGAGGCGCTCAAGAGGGCTGGCGCTGCTTGGTGTCTTCGCTTTTTGCGCTCACCATCTTCAGCTCGCCAAAGATCGTGTCCTCATTGGGCTCCTTAGGTGGTGCAAAATGTTGGGCAGCGCTTCTGAAGGATGATGGTATCGTCTGAATTCACCTTGCGAGATTGGTGCAAGGAAAACATGTCCACGCTAGCCTGTCAGCAACGCCGTGGCATTTCTGCTGCCAAGATGCGCAGGTGGGTTTGATCCAATGAATCCTTTCAGGAGACACGTAGGCAATGAAGCCCTACTCAAAGCTGTATAGCTTACTGCATCATGTTCGCTCCTCTTTCCGAAGCGGGCAAACTCCGCGGAGCGAGGGCTGAGCATGCCCTGCACAACAGCAGATTCTGAGGTGCCACATATCCCCATCACAATCACAAAACATATCAGTGGAGAATATCGAAAGGATAGCTTGGACATTGAAACCAAAGCCTTCCCATGACCTAATCAAATTCCGCAGATCTGAATTAGGAATAATCTCTTCAAACAAGGCAGGCACAAAAACCTGCTCTGACACGAAATTTGCGCTTGCTGCCATTTAGACTCTCTTTTCAAAGGTTCACATTGACCGATTCATGTGCACAGCTTGCCGTACCAAAGTCCTTCATGACCCTCAAGGTCACCCCTGTGAATCGTCTATGTCAGAGGCCCCCTTGGGTCACACCTGTCCCAAGCTGCCTCGTCCAAGGAGTTGGCCTTTCCCCGCGGGGATGCCTGGCATCGTCATTTGAGCGGTGAGTTGCAGGTGGCTAGAAATCTCTCAACTTTGGCCCGGGATTTCGAGCTCGAGGCATGTGCAAGCAATCGAAACACACATGGAAGCGGCCTAAGATTTGACGATCATGCTCATCCAAAGAATGTAGTATCCGAGCAACAAGTGCAAACTTGACTTGCCGCGTTGGATCAAATCATGTACTGCTGAATCTGGGCACCAGTGCCGCGGATTGCACCCCCAGGCCTTGGGCGCACCTCTCCTGCAAGGCCGACTCATGTCACATCAAACTCAGGGCAGCAGGTCCACGGTGTGTAGGCCAGGAGGTGTGTGTGTGTGTGTTTAGCCTTGATACCACGCCCAGGGTCAAAACAGTGCCGCAAGAAGCGATCCGTCCTCGGGGGTGGCGGCGGCGCCTTTGCCTTTGCCTTGGCCTTGGCCTTGGCGGCCTTGGGGAGTGAGGGCACCAGGACCAAATGTCAAGCCGTTAAAATTAGAGGTGAGAAGTAGGCTATGGCTCGCAATATGTTTGAGCAATTCGCCGCAAAATGCAACACGGGACACCCTTTGGCTTCTGTGGACCGCGATCATGCAATGGGAAGTTGGAATTTCTGACTGATGCGTGGCGCTGAGCCTCCTTGTTTTGTTTGAAGCTGGAAGACCCTTCCCTCCAGTCAAGATGGATGCTGGCTACTTGGACAGCCCGAAAGTGAAGCGAAGTTGCAACAATTATTGTCCAGTGCCGGGCAATTGCGCTAAGCCTAGAAACAAGCATAGCCCCTGAAAAACAAACGGGGTCATGTTGGCCATGCTATGATCCAGTTGTTGGGATGGCGAATCAAACCCGAGAAACCATGCCTGCCAGACTGATTCATCAGGTAACGTAGGGATCGTGGCAATATGCCGTGCGTCAACTGTGAATGAATGGGGCAAGAACTTCTAGCACGGCTCGGAGAGTCGGATAGAACTGCATTGAACTGCGCACAAGTGATGCTAACCACTCACTACAGGTTGGGGAACTCAAACACGTGACTGCCAATCGGGAGTTTGGGTCAGTTTCTCACTTTTGTTGCGTGTGTTGGTTGTATCGTTGAATCATATTTGGATGACCCTGCGTGAAACATTGACCAGTTTTGCGATCAATCAGTTTACCATTTATCTAAACTTGCTCGATTGTCATAGAAACTTGACGCCACTTCACAGCAACTACTATGTAGAGAGGCTTAGGCCCAATGTAGGATCGTTCAACAAAGGCCCAGCAGCTTTGCATGCTGGCCCGGAATGTAATTGTGCAGAGGGTTGCTTGCATTAACGCGTGCCCCGGTTGAGGCTCATGGTTTAGAGTGCATGGGTTGAGGTAAGAAGGGGCACACTTGTGGTTTGGGTCAATTCATACAAACAATCGAATAAGATAAACACGCTTGGTTCAAATGCCTGGGTGGCTCTAGGCCATAATATAACTTTGACGGAAGAGCGCAATGACAAAGCAGCTTTTGTGGTTACGAGCAACCTCAACGCTTGGATGCAAGCTTGGCCATCTTGGCCGACATTTTGAGATCAAGCGTGCTACTTGGGCAGGCACTGCTGGCTCTGGCACCGGCTTCTTCCCCCAGCCTGGCTTCGGCAATGTGGCTGGCTCCAATCCTGCCCTCCTCCCTCCCTCCCTCCCTCGCTCCCTCCCTCTTTCCCTCCCTCCCGGTCCGGCCTCTACGCTTGGTGGCCTTAATGACCATCGCGCCCAACAGCATGAGACCTTCAAATTGCAGCCGCTGCAGTGCTAGCACCATGCAGGTAAAACATGTCATACCCAAGCATCCACAAATGCTGACACCTGCCAGTGCAGCAGCCCGGGTCGGTCGTGGCTCATTTGCCACCGTTTCCACCGGCCTCGCGAAATGCATCATCCATTATTTGGATAACACCATGATGGCAATCCTGGATTCTTCGATTCTGAAACTGGAGTCTTGGCAATGTACTTGCACGGTGCTTTGCTGTGATCTGAGTTCAGGCACACTTCTGCAACTGGAGCAGGTCTCCCGCGCAAACGCGCTAAGGAATCGCGTCCCCTGACAAGCTGGCAATAGTTGGAAAGCATTGTCCAGTGTTCACAGTGGTTTCGTGATTTCAGCCTCAGCTTGCTGCCTGTTGGCCCAGAAACTGGAGGTAACCATGGAAGCAGGAGTGGGAGAAATCACTTTATGGACAAATCCACTCCGATCCATTGTATACGATTGCCACAGCCGTGCTCAATCCGTCACGCCTCTGGAACTGCTCTTCGGCTGCAATTGCAAGCTTGGGAATCAGCTCACGCCGCATGACCTCGCGGGAAGGTGTATCAGCACAAGTGATGCATCGTCCCAACAAGTTAAGAAACCATTGGCACAAGAAACATTCACAAAACACGTCATTAACGCTCTTATTCGAGCTCTTGTCTGAACGTCTCTTTAGCTACAAAAGCCGGCGAAGCTAGAGTGCAGCCTCAATTTTCCAAAGGCAACTGGCTCGGATGTGGTTCCTTGTCAACGCACATGAATGGCACGCCTGCGTGCCAGCACTGTGCGTTCGCGCCAAACATGTGCGCGATCAAGCTGGCCGGTTGCCTTGTAAACTACAAGCAGCTAGCTGGCAGCTATTTACCCTAGTTAGCTAGTCTGCCTAGTTTGATGGTTGGATAGCTACGTAGCTTGCGCACTAGTCAGCATTTTCTCCAGCTAGCTAGTTGGCGAGTAAGCTCGTCAGCTAGTACGATAGATGATTGGCTAGGTAGTTGGCAAGTTGCTACTAATCTGCCCTTCTGCTAGTCAACCAGCTAGCTTAGCTTAGCTAGCGAGATATTTAGCTAGCTAGTCTCACTAGCTCAATAGTTAGTTCGCGAGACAGAAAGCTTGCCACTTCGCAAGTTGGATAGGCTGTAAGTGATTAACTGTTTCAATAGCTAGTTAGCCGAATCAACACGAAAGGACTAAAGGACTCCGCAATCTCCGCACAAGGTTCGGCCAGCAGGCCTGTTGGCTCAAGACTTGAAGCTTGAGCGTCAAGTTCGGCCGATGCCCGGCCTCCCGCGCAGCGAGATCCAAGAGCAGGCCTGAGGCCGCTCCTACGACGAAGCTGCGGCCAGCCTGGCAACCGACGGATTGCTTGCCGGATGTTGGGCAGGTAGAGGCATGGGATAGGTCCGACCCACCCTCCAAGCATCTGACTAGATGCTGCAAAAAATGCGTGGCTCAGCAGCTCATCCACGCCTTCGGTCCACGACCTGGAGTGCTAGCCTGCCGCTTCCCGCCAGAGAGATACGGTAGATGGAAGACATATCGCATGTCGTTTGAATCGAACCCACGCCAACTCGTTCCGACTTGCCCCGCACCTCTATCTTAACATTAGGTGCTCAGGTTTGCCAAGTTGGGTTGGGTCATGCAAGATTGTGTCATTGGCTATCTACGAAATGTTCTGCCCGTCACAGCACAATGTTGAGCATGGGGCGCGGGGTGCCAAATGCTCTGATAAGACTCATGCACGACTTCATCCATCAGCCAGCATCACATCAAAATGACCGACAATTCCCGGCTTGCCCGCCTTTGGCTCAGATACCGCTCTTTCTATTTCAATTGGAGAGGACTCGAGCGCCTCGAGGAACACTCCTCCAGCACCTAGAATCCAACAGAAGCTGAAAAACCAAATGCCACGCAGACTGCGCTCCTCCCGGGCTAACACATTTTAAGAAACAGCATCCCTGAAGGCTCCAAGTTGAGTCGCAAAGGTGCTTGGTGCGCAGCACTCTTGCCACGTGACCAAAATGCGTCAGTGGCGACCCGGCAAGCGGTCGGAGTCTCTATGAGATGCACCTGCGAAGTCTGCAATGGTCCCCTCCACCTGGGAGCAAGCAGGCCCGTGCCGATTTGATGCATGCTCCGCAAGGCCTTGTTTAAGTTGTGTCTCCGTGGGACCAACTGGGAGTGACCCTCATCGAAAACAGCGAGCTAATCATACTATTCACATATATTTTACATATAGATGTATATACATATATTATACATATGTTGACATTATATATATATATATATGTATATGTATATGCATATGGCCCCGTCCTCTGCCCTCCCCACCCCCACCCGCCGGTTTCCCCCCCCCAAGAGCCCCCGCGCCCTCTGCTCTCGAGCCCCTGGACTGCTGTCGCACTGTTGAACAGTTCTTTCCTGCCACCCGCTCACGCTTTTTCTCATGCGTGCTTGTTCTTCTTTTGTCTTCTGTCAGAGAGCTAGCTTTCAATTAGTGTCCGTACCACAGCAGTTCCTTCTAAACTTCCTCTGATTAGCAAGCAAGACCAAACCAAACACAAGCAAGCTCTAAAACCACTCCACACGGCGGGCAGAATGTTCCCAAAATACATCCCAAATCAACCAGAGTTTCCAAGCCAATCCTAAACCATCCCTAAACCGACATAACCCCGAACCCAACCCAAAATCAACTCCAACCACCCCCGCCCACCATGCCACGGGGGGAGGGGGGGAGGGTTGGGGGGCTGGACCGTGTATACATGTATGTATAATATACATATATATATATATAATATATATATATGATGCCTGAAGAGTGTGTTGGCATCGAGACTGATGGACCGAACGCTGCTACTGCTTTCTCCACCAGGCGTGCAGCACCAAGGCAATCTGCTGGTGGGAAACGTATGTTCCACGAGCCAAGGCTCCAAGGGATGCCGCGTGAACGTCGACCATGTGCATCCCGCTGCCTATACTCGCAAAATAGGCCGCACCCTCCACTGGACCCCTCGAAACACTGCACACGGTGCAGGGCTTCGTTGAACGTGACTTGAAATCAGCGGGCTGGGGTGACGATGGCCTGCAAGCTCCGTGCTCACGCCCCGCTGGATTCGGTGAGCGTGCGCTCGAGTCGAGGCTTGCATGCCATCACCGTCTTTATGCCCCACATAGCAGGTCACCGTGGCCAGTCGACAAACAAGGTCGCCTGACCCATGCATAGCGGAGCCATCTAGCATTGCCTAGAATGGTGCCACCGCCTATCGCGCTTTCTTGCGAAGCCACGCATGAATTCCAGAATGCCCAAAGGGCGACGTTCATGTCTTGCCCCGGGCAAGGAAGAAGTTGCTCGGGCTTCAAGCTTCAAAGGCTTCAAGCGCACCTCTCCATGCAAACTGTGCAATTGCAGCCTTTGAGCGCTCAAGTTGAGCATGCGCATTGCCCGCCAGCGTTGCAGAATGACGAAAAATTGCAAAAAAAAACTATTTCAGTTCGGCAGGTTTGCTTGCTCAGTTTGCTTGCCACTTCCATGCCATGCATGTCCGTCACTCTTCTTTGCTGGCGTCGCTTGCGCGAACGGCTGTTGCCAGCACCGTCCCTGGGAAAATCAGAGGCGCCGTGTGCAGCCAACAGCTGAGACACAGCACATAGTCGTCAAGAGCTCTCTGAAGCACCACAGGCTCTGGGCTTTGCTTTGCTTCCGTGTTCCTTGCCCTGGCCCTGATGGCCCTGATGGCCCTGATGGCCCTGATGGCCCTGATGGCCCTGATGGCTTGTGTTCAACGCACTCGAGGGTTCGAGGGTTCAAGGTTCACGGCCATCGCCCAAAGCCAGCAGCTCAGACAGGAAAATGAGGCAGATAGCGACCGCCACAGTCTTCGCTCAAAGGCTTGCTGCGAGTTTGTGCGGCAAAGGAATGCAGCCACAAGGTATTACAGCGCAACGGGACTCCATCTGAGCCAAACAAGCACTACGAAACAAGAGGGCCTGCTTTCAACGCCAAGCTTGGAACTCGCTATGGAGTCCGAAGGCTTCTAAAAGATGCAAATGCAAAAGTCAACCCTGTCCACTAGGTCGATCAAGTGTGCTAACTCATCCAGGCTGGCACTGAGAACTGACACTCAGTCTGGTCTTGAGGTGTTCAGCACTTGACTTGACGCCTTCAAAGTGAACAGCATGACTCGGTGGAATTCGCTGAAAGACCGCGTAGATTCCGGTGATAGGGTCGTTGCAGAACAGTATGAAAGTAATAGACTGAGGCGTGGCACATGTAGTAGCGGTCTTCCGACTGATAGCCAAAGCTAAACCAGGCAAGCCGTGTTATCCTCCAAGGAAACTCGGCAGAGACGCTTACGACGATTGCCGTTTGTGTACCTCAGCTTAGAGCTAAGCAAAAAACAAGCTATGGAAAAGCTGCAGATAAGAACATGCAACTGATGCACGACACTTGTTGCCCTGACACAAACTTCTGCGCATCAAGGAGTTCGGTACACTGCCCGCAATTCGAATCAAGCTCAATTCTGCTCAGCTGCATGATGCATGCAACGTGCATGGAGCCTGGCGTCACTCAAGCTGGCGCCTTTAGCTGTGGTTTGTGGCTAAGTGATCATCTGGCCTTGGCGAGAAGTGGAATACATTTGGAGCCCAAGCCATGAGGCCATTGAGAGAGCTTTCCAGGCCCGGGAGCGCAAATGGGCCTCAAATGGGCCTCACATGCGCCTCAAACATGACCGAACTCGTAGTTGGCCGCAGGCAGCAGGCGCCAAGATCCAGTTCCAGAGAGCTCCAGGACCTCCGGGCTTGACTTGTCATATCCCGAGTACCCGTGGAATCCCTTTGGCGAGGGTGTCAGTAGAAATACAATTGACACACACACACTCGTGATAGCACAGCAGGGCCGGGCACAGAAAAGGCAGAACCGTCGCAGTCCCTACAGCGTGTCATGTCCATGGACATGCTGACTGACCACGCTGCAAATTCAAGTAGGCTGTGGCAATTGTCTGTCTACTTCTCAGCAGATCTGATATTCGAAGCTCAATCTTCCTGCCTGCTCATGGTACTCCGCAAGCGTAGGCCGATGACCAACACCTTATGAGAGAACGAACGCTTGCACCGGCTACCTTTAGAAAGCATGCCTCATTGCCAAAAGCAATTAGAAGCTAAAAGCCTGCGAAAGATTATGCAAGCATATGCAAGCATGTGCAAGCATATGCAAGTAGCTGATTACGGCCACGCCCCGCTCCACCAGCATGGCGTACAGAAGCTTCTCGGTGTTGACGTCCAGAGCACTTGTGGCTTCATCTAACACCTTAGACATCTTTGCCAAGGAACATCGCAATGTCGAGAAACCGCGCGTCGCGCGTTGGCAAAATGTTGAGCGTGGCGCTGCGAAGCGGGGCGAATTGAGCAAGAGCCGCGCAAAGGCGAGGCGTTGTTGCTCCCCCAGTGACAGCAAACGTGGCCAATCCTCGCCGATGGACTGAAGGGCTGTTGACTCTGCATTTCACGATTCGAAGGCGTTTCCGCCATTTGCATGCTGATTCAGTCGGAAGTTAGAATATTTCTTGGCAACGGTTTGCAATGCTTGCCTTCCTGCTTTGCTTGTTGGAATCATGTTGTGCTCAACTTGGACTTGAAGAACCCAACAAATTTGAGACAGGGTGTCTCGGCAAGAGTCTAGCACACCGAGAGCACCCGGGCATGTGCAAAGTCTGGTAAGTTGGAGAGATGCAAAGTGCGACCTTCCAACGGCACCCAAAGGATGTCCTGCTTGATGTCCAAATCAGGGTATCGCTCCACCAACCTGAGCAGCATGAAGGTCTGCAACACAAACAAGCATCCATCAAAAGCAGCAATGCTCTTTGAAACTCGCATGTGCGTGATACCCGCCGACCTTCTCAAAAGGGGAGGCTCCTGGGAAGGGTGGAACACGTGAGCCCGCTTGGATCCTCGGCAGCGTCTAGATGGCTGTATTCTACATGCAGCCATGGGGCCATTTTAGCGCCAGTTCGCGCGCGATTCATTTGTGATGTTAGACTGTTGCCCAAACGCCTCCCTGCTTGGACTTGTCTTTGCGCAAAAAGTTGTGTGTGTGTGTGTGCTTGCTCCTGGGCTCGATTCCATCCATCACCACGCTTGTCACGAACATAGATGTTGCGCTTGACTGAAAGATGTTGCGTCGCTCGGGCTCAAATGGTCATTGGCATCCCTGGCTGGCGCATGTGCAGTTTTTTGCGCATCTCCCCCGCGGAGGCAAAAGCGAGCATTTTTCCCCAACAGCTGAAAGCGTTGGGGTCTCAGCCCAGATAGGCTCCGGGGTGGTCCGGGGCGCCCCTGAGGTAAAGATCCCACGAGAGTTCCACGAGGGTTACTGAGTTCCACCAGGTTCTGCGAGGGCTGCGGGGTGGTCCGGGGTGGTTTGAGGTAAGGTTCCACGAGGGTTCCACCAGGGTTCCACCAGGTTCTACGAAGCCATCGGAGCAGTAAATTGAAAATTGCTTTGCTTATGAGCGGAACACTAAGCAAAATCGAAATCAATTGTTTTCAGCACAGTTTCACTGTTTTGTCACTTGCTCGCTTGCTCAGGCAACGCGTTGGCTTTGTGGCAAACTCACTGTATAGCAGAGTAAGTGCTTGGCACTACTGAGTACTACTTGGTGGGCTTTGGGTTCCAAGCGTTCCGCGAGGCTGCGAGGGCTACGGAATAAAACTCTAAAAGCGCTCCACGAGGTTTCCACCAGGTTCTGCAAAAGCTATGGGGCTGCCCTGAGGAAAGGTTCCAACAAAGTTTCACGCTGAGCCCACGAGGGTTCCACGAGAACGGTCTGCAAGGTTCACCGGGCCCAGTCGGGCAGGTCGGGGACCGATTGCACCGTCGGGGCCCGATCGGGCCCCGATTGCGCCGTCGGGCCCCGATCGGGCCCCATCAACTACCAAGCCAGTATCGCCTAGTTTTGCTAGATACACTTGTAAGGCCGCATCCTAAGCAAAACCGGCGTTCAGCTACAATATAGGTGGCTGGGGTTGGTGGGAGCCCGGGCCCCGAATTGCGCCGTCGGGCCCCGATCACTCTTAGTTTTGCTTCACAAAGTTACAAGGCGGCATCCTCAGCAAAACCGGCGGTGAGGTGGGTCCCGGGGCGGGTGTGGTGCTGTTGGGGATATCCCCTGAGCTTATTTTTTCGGAGCTGCCCGGCAACGGACAGCCTCCCCACTGCCAGCATCATCCCAAAAAATGCGGATAATGCCGGGTACGCTGGCAAAGAAACTGAAGGGAAATGTCGGGGAATGAAGGGAAATGAAGGGAAATGAAGGGAAATGCAGGGAAATGAAAGGAAATGAAAGGAAATGAAGGGAAATGTTGGAAATGAAAGGAAATGAAGGGAAATGAAGGGAAATGAAGGGAAATGAAGGGAAATGAAGGGAAATGAAGGGAAATGAAGGGAACTGAAGGGAACTCATGGGAAATGAATAAAAATGAAAGGAAATTACTTTACATGAAGCGAACTATAAGGAAACAGAAGGGGAATTGCAAAAAAAATGGCGGGCTGTGTCGCGTCAGCGCATAAATAATTATGGTAACGTATATACAATATCATAGACACATGCAGTTTTATATATATTGGGGGTGGCCCCGGACCACTAACAGTGAGCACAAATAGGAGCACAAAAAAAGCACAACAAAAAACAAGCAACTTTGCTCTTTTTTAAAATTAGGTACCCGCGCAGGTCTGAAACCTAAACTACTCGTTCTGCATCTTGGGGGATAGCTCCGGGGACCTTGAAATAAAGTGATTCAAAGACTATTTGCACTATGACTTATTAGTCCAGATACAATGGGAAAGTTAAATTGGCACACGCAACACGACGGCTAGCGTGGCAGTTGCAACATTACCTTTCCGTCCTTCCTTTCTGTTTGGCTTGGTCGCTGCTGCTTCCCACAACACCCCCTCCCAGTCAACCTCCCCCCAGCGTAAGCCAGAGCCTTCCGATTCACAGCCCCTCCCGGCCTTCTCTCAGCCTCCGCTCCCAACCTCCTCCCTGCCAACCAAGCTGCCCTCACCCATCCAGCCCCAAACCTCCTTCTTACCTGCGGCCCTCACCCAAACCCCCCCACCTCTCACGCAAACAGCCCACAGCAACCCCCTCCCCTCCGTCTGCCCTTCTCACCAACCTTCTGTCTGTGCTTTCTTCCTTCCTTGTTTCGTTCCAAGAGTGTCGCGGGGAGCACTAACGGTTTTTTTGAGGGGGAGCACTAACGCGCTAACGCGTTTTTTAAGGTGTCCCGGGGAGGCCTGGGGAGGGTCCTGGGGCAAGTAATTTGAATTTTGCGGTCTGAAGGGAAAGTAATTTTGAAAAACCGGCCCGCCGGCCAAGTTTTGCGGTGCTTGTTTTTGTGCTCCAATTGGAGTTTTGCGGTGGTCCTTTGTGCTTTTTCTTGTGGGTTCCGTGGTGCTTTTTTTTGTGCTCCCGCTGGTGGTTTCCCGTGATGAAAAGTAGTAGCGGAGTCTGGGCGGGTGGTAATTGGGGTTTTGGGGTTTTGTGGTGGTCCCTTGTGCTTTTTCTTGTGGGTTCCGTGGTGCTTTTTTTTGTGCTCCCGCTGGTGGTTTCCCGTGATGAAAAGTAGTAGCGGAGTCCGGGCGGGTGGTAATTGGGGTTTTGTGGTGCTTTTTTTGTGCTCCCGATTGTGCTCTTTTTGTGCTTTTTCTTGTGGGTTTCGCGGTGCTTTTTTTTGTGCTCCCGCTGGTGGTTTCCCGTGATGAAAAGTAGTAGCGGGGTCCCTCTGGAGGGTAATTGGGGTTTTGCGGTGCTTTTTTGGGTGCTTTTTCTTGTGCTTTTTTTTGTGCTTTTTCTTGTGCTAGTTTTACGCTTTCCTCTGGAAAATCCGTCCGAAAATTTGCCGAAATTGGCCAGAAGCGCGGGAGCCGGCCGGAGTCAGCGCCAGCTCGGCCAGCTCGGCGCTGGCGCCAGCTGGGCCAGGGGCCAGCTGGCCTGGCCGGGCAGGGTGGGGGCTGCCCAAACAGCTGTCTAGGCCGCAAGGGCAAACGTGGCAGTGGCTCCCCTGGCCCTGAACCTGTCTTTCAGGACCTTGGGCTCCTCCACCAGGCCCACAAACGGAAGAAGCTGAAAGACAAGACGCTCCAACGTGTTTCTGGGCGAAGCGGCCAGCTCCGCGCTGACTGCGCCACTTCCTGCCTGCTTTGGATTTCGCTCTTTGTCAGATCAAGATGTCAGAACTTGGTGTTAGCGTTAGCGACTTGCATTCAACTTGCAGCGACGGCGGAAAAGTGGTAGTGATAGTTGCTGTCTAGGCCAATGTTTATTTGCGATATATGTTTATGCTATGTCTATGTCTCTGTCTATGTTTACGACTCCTGAACCAGCTTTAAACTTTTCCTAGGTCTCCTAAATCCGAATGCACCTACAGTCCAGTGACAACCCCAAAATCGCAGCACTAGAAACCAGTAGGGATAGAACCGTATTTGGGCCTGGGCATGAAAAAACACCGCTCTACTCTCCACTGCATCATCATATAGACCAAACAAATACGCAACCTAAAATTGGTGGGGCGTGCTTACCCAAAACCAATTTGGGCTTGCTGGTGGTCATTTTTGCTGAGGTATTATGTATAAATGGCTTTATTTAACTGTTAGTGCTCGGGGGCCCCCCAATATATATATATATATATACGCCTAGCAACTTTTGCAGGCGAACCCTCTTCAATGTGTCCCGCAGCGTGTCTTCGCTGAAGCTGTCCTCACAAGAACAGGCTGAATCGGCATGTCGGGTTAACCACAGCAACGAAGCTGCAGCTTCGAACCAAAAGCGCAAGAGGCGCGTGTCCTGAGGCAAAGGATAGCACAGCTGCTCCTTCAGCGATCCCAGGAGCATGTACGGCCTGGAGACACACGGGAGTCCGAGCATGGCCCCGTGCGAGGAAGACTCAAAACAAAACTGAGCGGCCCTGCTCGCTTGGGTCATTCCGGCCTCTGTGGCACGAAGAGCAAATCACCCACAGGAGGCCTGGCATCGGCAGGCCAATATTAGGATCAACCAAAGCTCAGTTTTTCCCGCAATGACAAAAGAGCCCCATAGAGAGATAGTCTCCATTTTCCAAAGAGCTCGTAGATAGTCTCCATTTTCCAATGGTATGTCGGTGAGTGTGCCCCATGTCACCTCTTCACTGTTCACCGCTGCTCATGTCAATTGTTTCGACTGCTTGCCAAGCTGTCATGAACGATTGCGAGGGTGCATAGTGCCAGATCTTGTTGTTGTTTGGTAAGCCACCAAACAGCACGTGGTCATATCCTCAGCATTGGCCTAGATTGCGATGCTGTCTGGACCAGTGATTCGTCGACAAGGACACTCCGTGCTCCGTGCCTCTCCACGCTTCCGCAGACAGGGTCCCACAGGCCGCTGGCCACTCGAAGCACCGAAGTCTTGCCGCAACCCGATGGGCCGACGACCAGAACACGCTGGCCTTGGCCTCAGAGGCTGATCCTTCGTTTCCTGGAAAAAGTCTCAAAAATGCAAATTCTGAAGCAAACACGTGTGGGAACATTCGAGATAGTAAATTCAGCTCAAGATAGTTCAAGCCTTTGGCCCCCAACCCGAATCGGCGCCAGGCACCGGACTCACTGAGATCGTCAGATCCTCCACCAGGAGCTGTTCAGAGCCCGGCGCTTTCACCGTGACGTGGCGCAGCAGCATCTGGGGCAGCGGCCCGAGCGCTGAAAGGATAGACATGCAAACGCAAGAGACGCTGCGCTGCGTGCATGCATCCCTATATTTTCCCAGGTGAGCTCATGTGCTGAAACGCATTTGTTCAGAAGACTAAGTCCTGCCTTTGATCTTGCAAAGGACGCGATTTGCGGATGAACAAGCTGCCCAGCGCAGGCTTACTTCTTCGACTTGCAATGTGGGAAGGAAATCCCCGGCTCAAGTTGAAGTACCCAGACAAAATGAATTCTCCCGGGCCTCCTTGGCCGAGCTGGCACCCTCCTCCTGGGATGCGAGTCGCTTGCACAAAGCTCTTTCCAAGATGTGCCGAGCCGCCAAGTCCAGCTGCACGACTCCTGGCGATGGACTGTGCTGGCTCTGCCATGGAGGGCTGAGTTCTCGCACAACTTGTCAAACACAAACACAAAAGCCACAGAAAGCGCCAATAGAAGTGTGTTGGCTCCTTGCAGCTCGCCCTCCTTCTCCTTGCCGTTCTCATCGCCCTGCCAAGAGAGTGCCCAACCACTAGAGCTAGATTGAACTCAAAGGCGTTGCGTGCAGGCTCACCTGAAGCGTCTGCCCTCTGTTTTCCCTCTCGCTTTTTTCGTTCGAGTATGAGATGCTCCTCTTTCTCTGGCCGTCCCCTCGTTTCTGTTCTTTCCTTGATTCGTTCATTTAGGAAGCTGTATCCTTAGCTCGGTCCAGCGAGCCTTGCGATTGATCTCCTCCACGGTCGATTGAAAGCCGGCCAATCGGCTGATGCCTGCCCACCTTGGCATTGACGAACATGATCCCTACAATCTTGGGACCTAATTGGCAATGAAACACCTATGGCGACTGCCAAAGGCACCCAAATAAGAAGGCTACCCCAATGTGCATCCCATAATCAACCACCATCCCACTCTGCCAAATCATCTATGCAGTCAAGCCGACCAGTGTGCGATCTGGTCGATGTTGGATACCACGAAGGAGAGAGCACTCCTTAGCAACACCAGGCCATTCAACGATTCAAAGTGGCATCTACACATGTTTCCCGTCATGACAAAGGCTCTCCACCATGCCGAAAGCAAACTTGGCTTGGATGAAGCTCCCGTACCTTTGCATACCAAGACAACAACAAAGTCAATGTCCCAGGGACAAAGAGTCCACGCACGATCCTGGACATAAACCAAGGTTGCTCGATTTCTCCTCTGAGATAGGCAGGTGCCATGATGAGATACGGAAAGAAGTTCCCTGCAAACGTGGCAGACGCGTGTCAAGAAGTGTTATCGTCCCAGAAAGAGCTCTGGCAGCTTTGGCCTGCATAGCCATATGATCGACGCAGCACGCTGATAATGACCTGGCAGCAACCCACTCACAACCAACATGCCAAGGACCGTCGCTGGGAACATGCCTGCAAAACGCGTCATTTTCACGGAATAAGCAGAATACAATTTCAAGTAGAAGTACTTCAAGATCCCAGGAGCTCCCACTTATGCTTCAGACTAGAGTCAAGCTCAACAGGGTCTTCTTTCCCCGCCAATTATCCGAAGCCTGCAATGGAAGTCAACAGGTGCAAGCTCGCCTCCCACTTGATCAGGTAATTGAAGTTTGTCACGACCCAGCCCAATCTTCGCTTTGTCTCCTTCTTCTCAGGCTCCTCACCCCCGTAGAAGGCAATTGCCTGCGGCTGCAGCAAGCTTCAGGTATTTCAAGGTCCTCCGATGTGTCAAGCTACAAAAACGTAAGGGGGGGAAGTCTAGAAATACACACATGGTTTAGATGTGGATTCGTGGGGCATGCGTGTGCGTGTATGTACGTTCAACTTTGGAGGCAGCTGCAAGCAAGTAAGTTCGCATACCTCGGCGTTGTTCCGAATGTGCACCAGCCCGTAGCGGAAATCAGCCTCGTAACCTCACAGCTCTGCTGACAACTGTGATCTTACCACCCGAATCAATGACTTCACAATCCAGTGCCTGAAACAGCGGCTCCAGGAGATTGTACAAGAAACTCACTCACGCTTAACATAGGCGGCAACCCTGCGAACTCCCTCCCACTCCCGGACTCCCGGTCACATCCGGATCATTCTCAGAGTCCCAGCTGAGCTCGGGGCGCAGCTGATTGTAGTTGATCCGCACCAACTTGTGGCTGGCCAGGATCAAGACCATCGTGGCAGTGCCCGAGTAGGCGAACAGCGCCAATGTGAGCTGCTGGCCTCAAGGCTGAAATTCCGTTGGCCACCAGTTGCTGTTTGTCCTGTTTGTCAAGTTGAAGCGTTCAAAACCAAAGCTGCTGATGCTCCACAGAACCACGATGTTGAGCACCTCGATCAAAGTCTCTCCCATGTCTGGTAAGCGGCTCGCTGCAAGTCACTCCAACATTTCGTGAGCATCCCAAGAACACATGGCCAAAGAACTGCCAAGTGGCAAATGTCAGCAAGGCATCGAAGGCGCCAATCTTGGATCAGGCGAAGGGAACGCAACATGTTCCAACTTGCTTGCACTGCCAGCATGCCTGGCACGCCTTTACATCGCCAGTTACATCTGCAAGGCACTGTGAAGGACAAACTCTCCTTGGTAAAGGTCCTCACATCCTGAGCTCGTTCAAGCCAGCTTTGTGTCTCTCATGGATGCTAGATAAGGAAATCTGAACAACTTTAAGGATCTCAAGAAAGCCTTGTGATGGCTCAGCTCCGAATGACCCCGGGCTCTTTGCTCCATCCAGGCGTCATCTGCAATTCGCTGATCGGGGTTGTCCACTTCGGTGTGGGACTCATCATTGGGGTTGATGTCCTGAGTGTTACTATTCCACTGCTCCAAGCATTGACACTGCTCTCAATGCAAGCTCAGGCAAGATCCAAGCCCTGATCCATGTCTTGGGCGTGTGATATGTGCGTTGCCGCACTGAGCGCGTCTTGCTTGCCAGGTCTCATAATAAGCACGATGGCTCATATATCCGTCAATGAAGTTCCGCGTGAGCCACTCTCGCCAGAGAATGGACAGCTTGGCGGTGAACCAGAACTGCAAGCTGCGAATCCTTGCACCAAGTGCTCCAAAACTCATGTGACTGGCAGTTGTCGGTTGTGCCTCTTTGATGACTGCAATGTGAAACCGACGTGACTAAAAGCACGAGCCCTTGCGCACCAGCATCCAGAGAGATCCAGCATGCTTAGTGCGCTCAGAGGCTCGGCAACGCGACGATGAAGCAAGTTGCATAGATCATGATAATCTTGTAGGTGAGGTCAGCATCCTCCGAATCCCAGCTCCGCAAAGCATTAAATCATTACTCAGTACCCGTACTGTGCTTGCCGGCCTTGGAAACCAAAGCATTCGTGAGATCGCGGGCAATGAAGCCAATGCCAGTGTTCAGAACATTGATGATCAGAAGGATGAAGACCTTGGCTGTCTGACCACTGTCTAACAAACAATGAATAAGAAGTGGGCCTCTGGTGTTTATTGGAAATGTCTTTTGTACGAGCAGGTTTAGAACTTGGAAATGTTGATAATGAAGGACAAACCTAAGACAGGAAGGCTGTAAACATCATATGTCGTTATAGATCCTAACGTAAGGATTGTAAGGGTTCTATCAGTTGGCAATTCCCCAGGTTTTTTCTTCCTTCTCCATTCTATCTTCTCAGCTCGAGATTGGCGTGAATGCAAAGCGTGCCAGCGGCTTTTGACGGAAATGTACTTTACCTTGAAGTTGATGGTTGCGGTTTGTTGGGCACTTACTAACTCAGTGGCTGGCTGCCTTCATCATACCCTCTAAGAAACTTGGCACAAAAGCTGGGTCCCGCGCGATGGCCCCAAGCAGCATCCAACCAATCCATCTGCGTGCGGCAGGCCGTCAAGACTTAAACACGCCAAAGTGGCACGCATGTCCAAAGGCCCAAGAGGATCGGAATGACTTGAGAGACTTGAAGGACAAAAGGCGTCACGGCACGGGCTAGCCGGTTCACCAGCGCCAATTTATTGAAAATGCTCAGAGCCTCAGCCCGCCTGCGGCCCTTCAGCTGCTGGCGGCTGCAAATGAAGCTCAAGGTGCCCACGGCACTCAGGCCGTAGATCACGCCTCGAGGAAGGCAGAGTTTGGTGGAATGGAGTTTGGAATGGGGTCGACCAGGAGTCCCAGGAGTCCCAGCTAAACACTGAGAGCATCCTGCAAGTGTCCTATTCAGATGCAGCACATTGACGTTTCTTGCAACTAGCGCCGGCCAATTGATGCCTGCATTGGCGCTTCAGCGATCGCAAGGCGCGAGCATCAGCATTGCCAGCATCATCAGCAGAATAATTGCCAATTTCCAGCACAGCAAGCATTTCAATGAAAAGTGTTGCTTCTGGGGCGTTCCGCGGGCCTGACGCTATCATCAGAAAGTACGATGGTTGCAACTTTCGCACAGCGCTCTCTTGAATTCCGTCCAACATCTCCAGCATCAAGTTTTGTTTGACAGAAAATTGGCGGGCACAATTCAACGTGATGCCAGCTGCAAGCCCTCTGCCCAGCGAAAGCCCTGGACTTGCCTCCTGTTGGCGACTTCCACATCGCTGCCATGATGCCAATGAAGCCACTGTCGCCTGACAGAAAGCCCATCTGCATTGAACTGTTGGGGGCTAGCTCTTCTGCCCATCTTTGCGCCTGAGACCAGCTTCTCCGCTGCCTCTGGTACTGTGGCCTCCACGACCAGCAAAATGCCGCTGACCAGAACCAACGCCATGCCAGTCCTGGCAAAGGTCCACACCACTTGGAAGACACAGTTTGCCAGCCTGTCTAGCCTCTGACAAGGTTGAAAGGAGACTTACAGGATTAGACTGGGTCCCATAGAGTTAAGGGCCAGGGCTCAATTTCTCGGCGTGTGCGAGCATTTTACATATTGCAGCACCATGCAAGTGATTTCGTGGTGACGGCGCATTTACCCAAGCACACTGCACGAGCTCAAAATGAATCCAAGCTTCACGATGAAGAGCAAACAGAGAATCAGCCAGGAGAATCGCCACCCCGATGCATCCGTTCGCAGGAAATACCTGAGTTTGGCAAGAGGGAAGCTGGAAACGCTGCCAACGCTGTGATCGCGCAAAAGAACAACTACTGAAATCACCGTGCACATGAAACTCCTGGGGCCGGAAGACGGTTGCGTGAGGCGGTTCATATAGCCAGCCTCCTTGCTCAGGTGATTCCCCGCCCCGGAGCACGGCACGTTGCAGCCGACCTTGACCTGGCTCACAAACTCTCATGCGCAATAGCCTGGAGTCGCTCCGCAAATACGCGGCATAACATACACACAAGTGGTCAACTTTGGCCAACATGCTCTAAACAGGGCCTGCCTTCAAGTTCATCGAAGCCGTCCTGATGCAAGTGGGCTTCCTCTCCACATCTTTTGTGTGCGGCTTCTCGATCTCCATCTTGGAATGCCTGGTCATGCGAAATGTATGGGCATGAATCATCGGCATCGGGCTGAATGCTGCTCGCGACAATAGCCACTGTAATCAATTCCAAACATGTCCTCCCCAACCCGGTGCAGCCTGGGCTCCGACTCTTTTGAGTCGGGCAATGAGCTCACAGCGTCTCCAGCCAAATGCCGCGGAAAATATATATAAAAATTAGTCACAAGGGAGGTGTGAACGCGGCAACTTGCGTCGACTAGGTCCGCGCGCGATGCACAGCTGTGACCCTGGTGACCCCATAATTAGGGCAAAAACTCCGCATCCCAACCCCCCTGTGACTTGGACCTCTTTTGCACTGGTACAGGCCTGGGCACGCGAGAGGCACCGCCAAAGCCCTCGCACTTGCTTAAAGTCGGTTTGGTCTGTGTCTATGTCTCAACAATGCAGTGCTCTTCCAACAAGCTCCGAGGCCTAAGGCTCGCACCGTGCCGAGCACCAGAAGTGACAGTACGGCGACCATTGCTCAAGCTGAGCCTGAGCCTAGGACGTGACAGTCGCTCAAAATGCACAGAGTTGACAGAGCAAGCAGGGTGCATAAAGCAGGCTGCTGGACAACGCTTCATCGTCACAACCCAGGATGCGTTCAAACATTCACAGCACATGCCGGGCAGCTTTTATATGTACTATCATATTCATCATGGCAGGATGGGTCTCTGTGGATGCTCCCAACCTTTCTGCATTTGTTCTCAGCACCTCCCAATCCCCATGTCATCTCCAAGCATTTATGTGGCACTGTAGGACTGGCACAGTTACGTGTTCGCATGGTCTGGTCGCCGCCAAGTAAGCGTCCATTCTTGCACGAAGAAAGCATGCGTAGGCAGGCTGGCTAGTATGCACCTGTCACTTCAAAGCTTATTCCATCTGTAATTCCCTGCTACATCCCAGCTCCTTTCCCCCGACACCTTGACATCCTGTCATTAGCATCAACCCCCCCCCCTCCCTTGAAGAACCAGTGCACAGTGCAAGTCAATTGTGTCACGCTGTGAGGGACTCAAGCCACCAGCATCATGCTTCACAAAGTCGGACGGGACTAGGATGCTGCGCACAAGAAACCACCTCATGTATGGGGGCTTGGGCAGCTCCGTGAACGGGACATTTCGATGTCAATTTCAATGTTCTGTTCATATAAGCCAAGCATGGTTGCGCGAGAGGACATCTGGTCATCGACATGACTGGGGTGCCTGGCTAGCTCGCCTGCTGCAGGCGGCTGGAAATGACCCAGGCTTCGGGCTCCCTAAAGGGGCTTAGCCGTGCGGGGGCCCAAAAGCCAAAACTCGAAACAGCGGAGCTGCCAACCAGGTAGGACCGTGGGACAGCTGGACTGCAGATTAGATTCGTTTAGGGAGCCCTGAAGCAAACTTAGGTGTCCCTAAAAATACAACAGGAGCCTCTCACACTGAGAGAGTCAACTATGTCAGGACGCTCCTGGAACAATGCTTGACGCAGAGCGAGGCGCGACGGATGGCACTCGACCTATCTGCGAATCATGCGTACAGCCCTAAGCCACATTCCAAAGGGCCTCTTAGTGCATCACCAAGCTCCCCGGGCGCAACAGCAAGCCAAGTAACATCGTGCAAACCCCCCGGCAAACTCGCACGGACAAGCTCTCCAGTGAGTCTCAGAGGAGTCCGTCCCTTTTTCATCCGAACCTTGGCGCTCCTTTAAAACAGCCTTAAACCTATGGCACTTCGGACTGTTTGGGAAGAGTATCACATGACTTCAGGGCTGAACTGAATCCTCGCAACTGCTCCGCTCTTGCCTCAGGCAGGCTGTGCATTGGGTCATCCTTTGGCGTCGCTTGAAGTAATCACCGCCGAAAGCGTAGCCAAGATCTGATTCTCAAAGCGAATCTCTCCAGTGACACGGTTGCCCACGGGACCTCGCAACACGGCATCTCGTGAGGGACTGAGCACCTTTCGGGGGTTCCTAGGCGCGGCTGAGGATAGCGCCATCCTGTTGGAAGGGGCAGTAGCACTCGAAATCCAGTTCCTTTGGGCTTCGGAGAGATCTCAAGTGCTCAATGCAAAGACCACGGGGTTCCGGGGTTCCGGCCTGACCGATGGGCAGAAATGCCTGTGTCTCCACGTCCAGTTTCCAAGTGATGGAGGTCTTCTCCTTAGGTGTCACTGCAATTTGCATCAATCCAGGAGAGCTTGCAAGGTCATCGTTAGACTGTCAGCACAATGTCGGCCGACAGGTCGGCAGCACATGCCCCTCACTCAGCTGCATTGGAGACTCTCGAGCATCACATCTTGGGAGATGCGCCAGGTGGTCATCCAGAGCTGCCAGAGCCATGCCCGGATGAGCTACCTGAGGCACTCGCCAATTATCTCGATTCGTGCTGTGGATGTCTGATGCCCCTCCCCAACTATAAGCTAGGCTGCCAGAGACATGCTTCCATCCAGTGGCTTCTTCCTTGGGGTTGCGATCTCACTCTTTCTTTCTTTCTCTCTCTCTCTCTCTTTCTTTCTCGCTTTGAATGTTTGAGCAAATCTAAAGCGACGCTCTTGCCAAAAGCTCAATCGGAAAGCACGAACATGGCGTTGGTTCTTCGGACTCGCAGCTCGCATCTTAGACGACAAGCCCGGCGAAACCAAATCGGTGCCGCGAGAATCCCCGCTTCCAGCCGCGGCACCCGTCCGGAGTCAAGAAGAGCGCCTCCGTAGCCTGTGGCCCCAGCTTCAGGATTCCCTCCTGCAAGCGGTGACGAAAAGGCAAGGCAGCTGAAATCGCGGGTGTTGCAACGAGCAATGCTTGAAGCATTCAAATCATTGAACGCACCCGGCCATCGACTGTGTCTTGTGAATTGTGCCATTTGTGCCACTATGAGAACTGTCTGTTCCATAAGTCTGATCCGATCTCTGGAGCAGAACAATTTTGGTTCAGAGCTCTTTGAGACAAACCACACCGTACCAGTAGTTTAACCAGCCAAGGTGCAAACAGGATACCGCCTGCATCCTCAGTGCGTCCAACAGCTCTGTCGAGACTGTGCTGATATTTTGTCGCAAGACTCGGTGCAACATGCGCAAAGGACAACCTGGGCCAATTCGCCGAGCAGCTTTCGCAAAGTACCTCGGAACATCGAAGTGGCACTACCAGTGCAACAATAATTCAGCAAGTGCGCCCTTGCAGTATGTGGACAATAATGCATGCATGATGAACGCGCTCAGACTGCCAAAGCAACAAGCGCTGAAATACCAGGCGGGCCACTTTTCGAAACTGACAGCGGCGGGGGTAAGACCTGGATGCACAACGGAAGAGCAGCAACTATTGCACCTACTTACTGTACCCACTCAGACCTGAGAGCAGTTTCCGATTTCAATGTTTCAACTTTGTCAATACTCAAGTGAGCACCAAGCTTGAAGCCTCGCAAATTTCCGGCCGGCCTCCTGGAAAGCAAAGGTCGTTCCTCATGTCTCCAGAGCCCCGCACCGGACGGTTCGCCCGCAAGTGCCTCAGTCGAAAATATGCCATGCGGCTGCGGCAGGCGGCTGCGGGAAGCGACCCACATCAGTTCACAGGTGTTCGGGGCTTCACAGCAAAAACAGCCAGCTGTCAGCAAAAAAAGTATTCGCCTAATGAGCGATGATGCCAGAACGTACCTCAAGTGAGTCAAGCCAACCACAAGGACTCATGGCTAGGCGGCAATGAGCTTCTTGAATGGGGTGCCTTTTGACTGAAAGCGGCATTTTGTGTTGAAACAGGCAGCCGTCTCAACGCAACCAGCTGAGTCGGAGTGGCTGTGGCTCGAGGACGACCGACTTTGGCTGAGGCTCTTCTGGCGACCTCGCTGTCGCTGCTGGTCCTCGCGGCCAACCTCCTCCACCGCTGCGCAGCTGGCGGGAAAGCGCATGCCGGGCTCCTTCAAGGCAGCGTTCATGTACCTCACCGAAAACACCGAAAGGACCGAAATCAAAACTTCGAGGCGGCTGGAGAGGCACCGTGGTTCCAGGTGTCACTTAGAAACAGGTCCTGTGTGAAACACCATCTGCAGCAAAACCATACAACGTTACGCAATACAAGGACGGTGAATTAAACTGGCAGTCCTCTCAGTTGCACTTTTAAAGCACAACCTGTGCACAACAATTCCACTCACTGCCTTGTGCTAGTTTCATGACGCTGGGTCCCGCGACAGATAGTTTGCAGAGAGATCTGAAACTAACAAACATGGGCGATGCTGACAGCATAGTGCAACCACAGCTGACACGAGGCCAAGCCAAGTTGCCCTTCCTGATCGTACGGTAATCGCTTTGGGTTGGGCGGCGGCAACCGTGACATTGCCAGCTCAGGAGGCACCCAGTCCACTCCTGCTTGCTCCCTGCTGCCCACAACATCATGAATCATGCTACACAAATCAAACAACAAAAGCAATCTACACAGCGCAAAATCAGCCTCAACTCTGTGACTCAGTGCAAAGCACGCGCAACTGCCACATCAGACAAATCCATGAACAAACTGGCATCAGCTACAGTCGCAAGGAATGCCTGGCGGCGGAAGAAAGCATCTGGTTGGCAATCCTTCCTGAGCGTCTGCAGAGTGAACGTTCTACTGTATCAGACCACGGGGGTGGCTTGTCAAGCATCTCTGGCACATGGGACACGATTAAGAGTCAAGAGTGAAAGCATGATGCTGGGAACAAATGATATTCGCGAAAAAGCTTGTGGCCCCAATATGTGAGTTCCCCTAGATCCCTCGTTGGACATGTTTACCAAATATCGATGTGCCACGCGCAGCAATGCCAGCTCATTGCAGGCCAAGCGCGGGCAAGCGCAGGGGCTTGGCTGGAAAAGATATCAGGGTTGCCTCTCCGCGCCGGCTTCAAAGCAAGCACTCGCATCAGCAATTGCGGTTTGCTGGCGTCATGCCTTCCATGAAACAATTCCTCCTACCAGCCTAGCAGTGTGTCTCACAGCACAAGCAACATTGGCAAAAAACATACCCGTGCTGCAATCATGCATCTCATGGAGTCTTTTATATGCCCGGCCTCGCCGAAGGAAATGAGAGTCTTGTCCAGCTTCCTCGTATCAGCATGCGGATACAGCCTGCCCTGCAAGCTTGTGGTGAATCCATCTCTCCCTCTCTGTCTCTGACCTCTTCACCGAATTCTTTTGCCTTCAGATTCTTAGTCCAGGTGTCAAGCTGACCTTTGCCACCATCTCTTCAAAGCCATAGGCCCCAGTGTGTTCGAGTCCTCAGACTCTGCCCCCGGCAACAACACCCATCACCCAGACCGGGCTGTACAAATCGCGCAGCGAAGATTCACTACGCGACCATTTCAAGCTCATGGTTCTGCCACTGCAACACTGTGGCATCTCGCGGCAAGGTAGTCCAACAAGGTTTGGCATTGCAAAGGTTAAAGTGAGAGAGAACCGCAGCATGCCGAGACGTGGTGCGACATTGGGTTCTCATGTCACTGAAAGTGTGCTGGGCGAATGGCCCAATGACGTAGTCCAAACGCACCGGCACATGAAACATCGCTGCTCCCGTCCACTGCCAGCTGCATAATAAGTCTTAGCAAAGCAAGGCACCAACGCTGACCGAGATCTCCAGCGTCTCGAAACATGGGCAAGGCTTGCTGAACCTGAAGCCGGCAACTCTTCCAGCCGGGAACTTGTGATCGCACCGCAACTGCTGGCTTAGAAACTGGCAGCTGATCTTTTTGAGCATGGCATTCGAATTCCAGGTCAGGCGGGCAAGATACACCTCGGCTGCAAGCATGCGTCAACATGCCAACGTTGAACAACTTCGAATCAAGAGTTCTGAAAGTAATGCGCGTCAGGCCATGCATCATCTAGAAGCCAGTCCCCTTCTACGATAGGCTGGTGATGGCTAGAGCGTGGTTGCAGCTGCTGCAGTCACGCCCGATATTGATGGTTCACAAGACTGGCTGGGCACATCGGCACCCAATGCTTTGGTGATGCCGCCCAGCGTGTTTCATCCTCTCTTTGGGACTTTGCTTTTGACATCAGAATCACCAGCTGTGATTTGGAGTTCTGAGCGCCAGCCAGGCTTGCATTCAAGCTGTGAATCAACATTGGTTTATTGTGGGTTTCAACTCGCAAAGCCACTGCGATTTGCAGCCAAACATTCAGCGAGGGCTACCATGCACGGGGTTGCTTCTGGCCGTCAAAGCTCTCCACGCAAACGCGCTTTAGTGAAGTCAGCATCCAAAACACTCAAAACCAAAACGAGCAAGAACACGTTGATGAAGAAATACAGCGGACAGAAAGGAATGGTTCCATTCATGCCCCGTATTTGCTGATCAAATATTGGTGTAATTGAGATGGTGTTGTAGTTGTTCGCAGGATGCTCCGCAGTAAGGATAGCACCCGGAAGGTCAAGTTATCCTGCATGTATTACCAACATCAGATGAAGCCTGCCTGCTCTTGATCAGCTTTCCTCCGACTATTCATTGTCGGTTTGGAATGGTGGTTTAGAAGTTAGGCGATTGTTTCTCATTAACCTTCTGCAAGAACCAGAACTTTGACCTTGTCAGTCTCTTGTGCCAGTCGTCTGCTGAGCGTCCGCGGCGTCTGCGAGTACCATGGCTTCGGCTCCGCCATGCACGCCAGGCGCGAACTCACCTTGGCGCATGGCCAAAAACTCCCCAAGGCAACCGAATGGTCCACAAGCCCTCCAATCCCCTTTCGCTACGGTCGACATCAGCGTTTGCATACGTGATCCAAGTGGCTAATGGATCATGCTTCCCAAAGAAGAAACAAACGATGACCATGCTCGCACGGGAGTGCAACGCCCATACTTGTCTAGTCACCATCCTCCTCCGGCTCTCCTCTGCTCATGGACTGGGTCGCCTCAGAGACAGAAACAAACATCATTCGCTGGCAGGAAACAGTGCATTGAGAAAGCTAGTCTCAGCCCATACATCTGAACGCATGAACTTGGAATACACAGGATACAGTATTGCTAAGAGCGATTGCCACGCCCGGTAGCCGCAACTGCCATGTGCATTGGACTGAATCAGGCGTTTCCTTGCAGCCAGCACACTTGAGCGCCAAACCTGACCACACCACGCAGTGAGGACATTGCGCCCAGCGTTTCCGGTATCTCCAGAAAATAGAGAACTGCCACGGTGTCCGGCAGAAGTCCTGCAACTGGGTCCTCAGCAACCGCTGAAGGCCACAATCAACTCAGAGCCTGTGACAGCCCAATCGGTGCAAGGGGCGCGTCACAAAACATTGGGAGAACAGAGTTGCAATCTGCAAGAGTTGCAATGTGTCCTTTTTTCCTTTTTGGCATCCCATTGTACATGATTTTCCAGATGAGCGGCTGCACTGCGGCAGTACACGATCTTCCCATCTACCTCGCGAGGGAAGCAGCGCTGCACTGGCGCGAACTTCTCGTCTCCAAGCAGCGACCACAGCGCGGCCTCAAAAGCAATGCGAGCTGAATCCGAGAAGAGTATGTTTGGGCTTCTGAGAATGCTTGCCAAGTTTTCTTCATGACCCCGATGATACTGCTGTATTTTGTGAGCGACACCTTGTCTCTCCCCTGCGACTAAGTGGGTCCTGGCACCTCATTAATCTTGACGCCTGAAACTTTCTTGACTTGAAACATATTGTGTGTGTGTGAGTGCGTCCTCGTCTATGCGTGTGTGTGTGTGTGTCTGTGTGTGTGTGTGCGTGTTTGTTTTTGCTTGTTTGTTTGTCTTTTTTGTTTGTATGTTTGTTTGTTTGTTTGTTTGCTTGTTTGCTTGTTTGCTTGTTTGTGTGTCTGTGTGTCTTTGCGTGTTTGTGTTTCTGTGTGTTTGTGTGCGGCGAGTATTTGTGTGTTTGTGTGGTTGCGTGTTTGTGTGTGTGTCTGCTTTTGTTTGTTTGCTTGCTTTTGTCTGATTGGTTTTGTTTGTTTGCTTGTTTGATTGATTGTTTGCTTGTGTGTGTGTGTGTGTGTCTTTGCGTGTTTGTGTACTTGTGTGTTTGTGTGCGGCATGTATTTGTGTGTTTGCGTGTTTGTGTGTTTGTGTTTGTGTGTGTGTGTGTGTTTGTGTGTTTGTGTGTTTGTGTGTTTGTCTGTGTGCGTGTGCGTGTGTGTTTGTGTTCGTTTGCGGGTTGTGTGTGTGTGCGCGTGCGGGGGTGCGTGCTTTTGTGTGTGTGTGTGTGTGTGTGTGTGTGTGTGTGTGTGTGTGTGTGTGTGTGTGTGTGTGTGTGTGTGTGTGTGTGTGTGTGTGTGTGTGTGTGTGTGTGTGTGTGTGTGTGTGTGTGTGTGTGTGTGTGTGTGTTCGTCTGTGTGTGTGTGTGTGTTCGTCTGTGTGTGTGTGTGTTCGTCCGTGTGTGTGTGTGTGTTCGTCCGTGTGTGTGTGTGTGTGTGTGTGTGTGTTCGTCTGTGTGTGTGTGTGTGTGTCGTCTGTGTGTGTGTGTGTGTGTTCGTCCGTGTGTGTGTGTGTGTGTGTTCGTCCGTGTGTGTGTGTGTGTGTGTGTGTGTGTGTGTGTGTGTGTGTGTGTGTGTGTGTGTGTGTGTGTGTGTGTGTGTGTGTGTGTGTGTGTGTGTGTGTGTGTGTGTGTGTGTGTGTGTGTGTGTGTGTGTGTGTGTGTGTGTGTGTGTGTGTGTGTGTGTGTGTGTGTGTGTGTGTGTGTGTGTGTGTGTGTGTGTGTGTGTGTGTGTGTGTGTGTGTGTGTGTGTGTGTGTGTGTGTGTGTGTGTGTGTGTGTGTGTGTGTGTGTGTGTGTGTGTGTGTGTGTGTGTGTGTGTGTGTGTGTGTGTGTGTGTGTGTGTGTGTGTGTGTGTGTGTGTGTGTGTGTGTGTGTGTGTGTGTGTGTGTGTGTGTGTGTGTGTGTGTGTGTGTGTGTGTGTGTGTGTGTTCGTCCGTGTGGGTGTGCGCATGTGAGTGTGTGTGGTTGTGCGTGTTTGTGTGGGTGTTTATGTGTGCGTGGGAGGGAGAAACAGTATGTTTCAGGACCGAGCAGCGTCGTTGGGGGGAAAAGCGGAGTAAATCGACGGGTCCAGTGGCCTCCTTGGCTTTGCAGCTGCATCTCTCTGCGTCCAAAGATGCTCATCAAAATTGACAACGACGAAAATGCTCAGCTGCGACAAAAGCTGAAATGCTGGCCGGCGTGTGTATTGCCGCAAGTCGACAAGCAAACTTTGACTGCCACGTGCTGATCAAGCAGTGTATCAAAGCTTCGGACCAAGACTCTTCAACGTTGCTTCGGGGAGCCATCGACCGTCTTTATCTTTGGCCGAGCGATCCAGGCAGCCTACGCGGGGTTGGTAGATCTGCTCCTTAGGCTGTTGCGGGTTCGGTTCTAGCAGCCGGGAAGATGGCATGGCATTATGGTACGTACCACTCCAGGAAAATAAATTGAGAGAGGACATCCACTCAAGCAAATGCAGTTATTGACTTCTCAAATCCAAGCTGCTGTGATCTGCTGGCAAGACGGCACTGGAAAGGACAGCACCTCCACAACATGACTGGCACCACACTGTTGACGCACAAGAACTGGACAGTAAAGCAGCTAGAAACATGCGAAGTGCAGAAGACGTTCTTGCCAAAGCGCAAAACACTCCTGCAACTCAAAACGAAAAGCGGACGCTTAAGACGCAAAGCGCCTTCTGAAGCGGCTTTGGTAGCATGGAAAGGCGCCGAATGAGCAGCTGCACTTGGGGCATCAGCTCTGGCTTCCTCGCTGAACACATGTCATGCTGTCTGCTCAAAGCCTTTCTGAAGAGCCTTGACCCATATCCTTTCCAAGATCAAACTTTTTGGTGCGCTTTTTTGCGCCCCAAGCTGAGAAGTTCAAACCTACCGTGATGAACTAAACGCGATGCAAGCGCGAAAGATCTGCTGACTGCGCTGCCCATATTGCTCAAACTAAGCAACGCCAGAACGGGAAGATTCACCTTTGGGAGTCCAAAGAACTGCAGGATGCCTTGCCCAGCGCTGCTGAGGCTCTTTGAAACCGATGCCAGCATCTCAGTGTGCTTCACCTACACATAGCACGCGGGTGGCAAACTGTGGAACTGGCTTCCCCAATCAAGCTCGGTTGTCAATGTCTAAGCTGCCATCTTCTTGGGATAGTCGTCTTAGCGAGCACTACCATTTCACTGAGTCTGCGCGTCACTTCCGGCCTTGATGCTGACCCAACCTGCGCCAAACGCAGCCCGCTCTGTCTCAAACCTGCCCGATGGCTTTCGCCTCCGAATCTTCTGGAGCCCCGCCTGTGCTCGGACCGGAGCCCTGCAAGAGCTGGTAGCCTCAGACGTCCGGACACGGCGGTTGATTCTGGCCAGGGGCCAAGCAAGGTGCATGGTTCAATCAGGGTGAGGGGGGGATACAAAATGCCAGCGTTTTCTGAAAGTCCTATTGAATAATGGTTTGATTTGGATGCCTTCCAACATGAATCTACGACGTGAACATGTGCTTCTTCACCCAACGGCATTAGTTGTCTAAGGCACGCAAACGCCGAAACTCCAACCCCTGGCCCTTCAGAGCTGCAGCTGGGTGCAAAGAGCTCATCATATACACCATGCCTTTGGTCGTGTGCGTTTACTAGTGCCGGGCGCCACTTGTGAAAAAGTGCGGAGTCATTGAGCTCGGCAAGCTGCTCATAAATTTGGCATCGAGAGTTGCCCAATGGCCAAGCAACGAAGGCGCTCGCCCTTCGCAGCGAGCTCCCGCACAAGCGAGCCCGTGCGGAGTCGCGGTAGCAGCCTGACGTGCGGCCAGGCTCCAAAAAGCAGGGCATTTGTCCAAATAACGGGCAACTTTGGGTCAAATGAGTTCAAGCTTCTCTGCCCCAGTTTGCACCGAGCTGCTCCAATGACTTCAAGCTCTGACCTTCACGAACCATGATGCCCCCGTCCTTGCCACCGCCGACCTGGAACACACGTCTCACCATTGATTGGGCATGTTGCGGATCCAAACACTGCCGACCCGACTGAAAATATGGAGGAAATTCCAGCTTTCGGCGAGTGGCAACTTCCCATATCAACACCTTGGCCAGGATCGGGCCGGGACAAGACATTGGAGAAGGAAACACCAAGAGCTCAACAGCAATGCAAATAGTAATGCGTTTCGAGGCACGCTTTGGCAAATCTTTTTGTACTCGTTTTCAACCTCGGAAATGCCATGGCGCGTTGTCTTTGAACTTGCTCAAAAGGCTAACCTTGGAGGAATATCTGACAGCGGAAGCGTGTAGGCGGCCTGCATTCAAATTCCTACCTGCTATGCTTTGAGTTGTATGCCGGTATCAAATGCTGGTTTCTGTTTTGAGAAACTCCGCGAGTTGACACTGAGGCCTTGTCCTCTGCCCTGCGAGGGTCCGAGCGTAGGACGGCATCTGGCTCTACCTTGGGGTCTGAGATGAGGCAAGCAAAACATTTAGGGATGTCCACCACCGAGATCACCAAGCCACTTATTGCAATTCTTATTGCGCAAGACATGAAAGCATGCAAATTTGCGAGAGCACAGGAAGTGGGGGCGAGCAGGTGATGCTTCGGACATATTTCGAGACTAGAATCCAAAGGCATGGTACAACTGCTCCCAAACTGACAATGGGAAGTCGCTCACTGACTTGCCAAAGAGCCACCACCTTGTCATAGACTGGCTCAATTGCACCTAGCCAAGGCGAGGAAGGGCAGAAGTGACTTCCGGGCTGCACCAAACTCAACGTACAAGACCCGTTTCAAAGTGTTGAAAGTCTTCAAAGCATGCAAGCCAAGAGAGTTCACCCGTTGCAGCTGACCAAAAGAAAAGTATAATTTATTAAACATAAAGGTTTGAGGCCTGCCTGGCGCAGGCTGCGAATCGATTGCCATTGCTTAAGGGCCAAAACGGCGACCCTCCAGCAAATACAAACTGGCATTGCTATTTTTGATAGAGCACTGCTTCAAGGCAATAAAGGGTGGCGTTGGAATGCTGCAAGCATTGCTGTGGACTGAGGTGATTCAGGCAATTTTGCAAGCTGCTCAGTGTCTTTCAATATCAGGCGCGGGACGCACCCTGGTAGCATTGAGCCACAAGCACAATCAAGGATTTCAAGCCTGCGTGATGATTTCAATGTCAAGCAAACGTGTCCGACATGAATATGACGCCCTCCAACTCTCCCTTTGGGTGTGTCATAATCAGGAAGCCCGAGAATGCTCAGGGTGCAGCCGTCCAAGGATCACGACCGTAGACACTCCGGCATAATTCGCAAGTGAATGGCGATACAATGAACCGAACGATCGGACTCGTGCTACTGGACATTGCCACGAACCAGGAAGAACTGAAGAACTATTGAATGGGCAGGGCCGCTCTTTTGAGGTAAAGCATCCTGCCTGAACCAGAGCTGGACATGAGCGCGTCTTTTTCAGTCGCTCACCCTGGCTCATGGCCTGCGCTGTGACTCCGTTAGAGATTGCCAACGAACACTGCGATGCGTACGAAGCCAGGAAGTCAACACACCCAGCACTTTTAGCTGCAACCTGTACCCACCTGAACAAAGCCTTGAGATGTGGTTTGTGAAAGCGGGCGAGGCAAGCATGCGTTGCCTTTGACCACGCCCCAAAATGGCAATCAAAGACTCATCACTCTGATATGATTTGCTTTTTCCTCGCGTAAACAATGATGAGGGCAAACCTAATCAGAACAGTCGGCACTGCTGCACGCGGATAAGCGGGAACAGTAAACATGGGAATATGGCAGTAACATGGTTCTAACTAAAGAGGATGATATGTCTGGAGAGGAAAGGGAAGGAACGAGTGCTTGACCTCTCTAACTCGAGCCAGCAAGATGAAATCCAAAAGTCAAACCGTCCGTGGCAAACAGAACCCCTGCTTGCTCCTCCAGCAGGGACGAGAGCTCAGCGCGCTCCGAAGCCTGCGCCTTGGCCTTGGCAGCTGGGGTGCATGTCAAAGCCACCGGTCACACACAAAATGGGTTTCATCGCAAGCTCCTGTCACGCCACGGCGTCGCGCATTTTGTCCTTTCAGCTTGAAACTGGATGCTGCAAGCTGCCAAGCTTCCAAGCTTGTCGTTTCCAGGGAGCGGAAGCACTAGGCGAACACACCTGCGATCTTCTGAGTCCCGGCCCTCTACACCATTGTTGATTGACTCATGGCGTGACACTGGGCAGTTCACAAACGATCATAGGCACTGCCCCTAGCTGCTTCCCCGTCCACATCTGTTCAGGCTTTATGTACAGCATGCAGCATGCGTCACTGCGGAACGATGACAGGGAGAAATGTCAACCAACTCCTCCCTGACTCTCTGAATTTGCGCTTTGGAATTCCATCCTGATATTCGGAAGACTCGAGCAACTCCCACCCCCTCCAAGAGGGTGGCCGTTGAAACTCGTGGCTCTCAGTCCTTCTGATGCAAGGTCAAGGGCACCTGATTGCGGCGCCCGTGCGGCCTTGCCCTTCTTGGGCTAGGCATCGGCTGCATCTTCGGCATCTGAATCTTTGGTATCTGAATTCTGCTCATGGGGACCTTCGTCTTCTGCGCCTTTGCCAAATGCGGGCAGCCCGCACGAGTCGCCCGAGCCGCCCAAGGAAGCGCTACCAAAGCCGCAAGCAGCTTCCAGGGGCCGTGCCTGGGCGGGCGATCAATCCGCGGGCGAGCCACACGCGGCACCTTCTCCATGGGAGCCTTCACCACCGCTGCCTTCACCGCCGCTGTCTCCGCCTCCGTTTCATCCCCCTCTTCCCAGAGAAACACTCGCTGAACGTCCGCTGGCGTTTCCAGATGCCGAGGTAGGTCCTGAATGATCTGGATAGCTTCGAAAATTGGCAAACCTGCGTGCTGGGACTTCCCGGCGATTATCATATTCACGCAGAAGCCCATGATTGCATTTCGCGTGTCCTTTGTCGCCACGATGTGGCTCCAAAGCTCCAGAAGCGCGTCCCCGCTGACGAGGTGCGAGAACAGATCGAAGATCCATGACATCGTAACCATAGATGGTAGAAAAGATGAATCCTCATCATCGTGGAAGCGTGCGAAAATGCCTGGGCTTCTTGCTTGCAATGTCTCCCAGAACAGCTGAGCTGTTTCTGCTTCCGCAGTTGCAAGCTCTAAGGTCCAGAATTTGCGGTCCATTGCTGCGAGGGCATACGTAAAGAACCGATTAACCTCTGCCTCCTGGTGCCCGGTCATCAGGCACACGGCCATCCTTGGTCAGCACATTATCTTGCGCAAGTCGCGAAATGGTTGGCAAGAGCCGCGCAAGATTGCAGTTGGCCTGCTCTAGAGAAAAACACATGACCACACAAGGCACTAACAAGACTACCAACAGAAGCCACAAAAAAGCATCACAAATGACCACCGCAAGGTCCACCAAACGAGACTCGACGGGCTGCTGTCTCCTCAAAATGATTGGTTGCTTTGGAAAATCTGGTGTGTCCAGTTGTCTTGATTGTTTTGAAATGACATCGGGTTTGGGGTGCAGCTGAGGTGGAGTTGGTTTAGGACTGGTTCAGGGTTGCTTGCAGATTGGTCTGCTTGGTGTAGGACGGCGCAAAGCTTTTGAGGTGGTATAGTATTGGCTGCAAACTTAGGGGGATTAGAATATGTCAAGCTGGCTTTGGATTAGACAACGTAAGGTTGAACTTGCAGGCAAGGTGCGTAGATTAACCCAAAAATCACAGGTTCTAAATATCGGACATTCTATTTTATTCGGGCCAACCACCAAGCACGCAAACATCCTGACAACGGGGGTAACAACGGGGGTTCGAGGGCCACAAGACCATCACAAGAAACAAACCACAAACAACCACCAGCTCAAACGAGTACCACACAGCGCGAGACCATCATGAGAGATCATCACAAAACACAGCCAAAAGAGATCAGAACAAATCACCACAAACGACCAAAACAAACCGCGCATTACATTCACATAGGTTTTCAAGAGCTGAAACATCACATAAAGCTACCAAAAACGAAAAAGAAAAAAGGCCCAGCGCATCGCTCTCGTACCTTATTGCTAGAGTCATCAATCAAAGACCACAAGAAACCTCAACAAGAAGCCACACCAAGAGACCACCATAAGAGCTAAGGGCCGCAAGAGACACCAAGAGATCTGCACAGCACACGAATCACACGAAACTGCCACAAGAATCCCAGCCGGGAGACCGCAACGACCAGCACATTGCACGGTTCATGCCATGTGCTTCGGCAACTGAGGCGCCGGCACAGTGTGCATGCCCTGCGTGTACTCCATGTCGGGCTGCTTTTCAGCCCAGTTCATCAGCATGCGCAGGATTGTTGCACGCTGCTCCGAATCTGCCAACCAATTCGGCATCCTGCAGGTGTCTCACAAACCAGGTGCCTTGCCAATTGATGAGCGAAGATCTCAGATTTCGAACACGCGTGCGCAAGGTCCTTGAGACATCTCTCTCCATCACGGCTTGCTCCTGCTCCGACACTGCGCGTGCCTTCTCAGTCCTGTCATGTGGCAACTCGCAGAGACTCGCAACATGCCGAGGGTTTGAGTCCAATAGGGACATGCGCACGGCCCACGGCAACTAAAGTCCTTTCTACCTCGCTGGTGACGGACAGGAACTTCTCGCGCAATAAAGCCAGTGTTGCCATTTTGCAGTAGCAACTAGCGACTTTCTTGAGCCAACAGCTAGCTGAACAGCACACTCACAAGGCGATGCTTGGGAAATACTTTGAGACCGCTGTTAAACGCACACATCTGGAATCGTTTGGTGGCTTGGCAAGGTACAACATGGCACATCTGGTCCCTGACACTGGACATCACTGGACATCACTGCACAGCTACTCACTGACTTGCCAAAGAGCCACCAGCTTGTCATAGACTCGCTCAATTGCAGTGACATCGAGGCTGCACTAACTTAACGCGCAAGCTTCAAGGTCTTGATAGTGGTAAACACACTCAAGCCAAAGGAGTTCACACGCTCCAGCCAAAGGGTAAACAACATTTCTGAGGCCTGCCTGGTGCAGGCTGCGAATCGATTGACCCTCCAGCCAAAGCAAGCTGGCATTGCTGTTTCGATAGAGCACTGCTTCAAGGCAATAAAGGGTGGCATTGGAATGCTGCAAGCATTGCTGTGGACTGAGGTGATTCAGGCAAACTTACGAGCTGCTCAATGTCCTTCAATATCAGGCGCAGGACGCACCCTGGTAGCATTGAGCCACAAGCACAATCAAGGATTTCAAGCCTGCGTGATGATTTCAATGTCAAGCAAACGTGTCCGACATGAATATGACGCCCTCCAACTCTCCCTTTGGGTGTGTCATGAACAGGAAGCCCGATAATGCTCAGGGTGCAGCCGTCCAAAGATCACGACCGTAGACACTCCGGCACAATTCGCAAGTGCATGGCGATACAATGAACCGAACGATCGGACTCGTGCTACTGGACGTTGCCACGAACCAGGAAGAACTGAAGAACTATTGAATGGGCAGGGCCGCTCTTTTGAGGTAAAGCATCCTGCCTGAACCAGAGCTGGACATGAGCGCGTCTTTTTCAGTCGCTCACCCTGGCTCATGGCCTGCGCTGTGACTTCGTTAGAGATTGCCAACGAACACAGCGATGCGTACGAAGCCAGGAACTCAACACACCCAGCACTTTTAGCTGCAACCTGTACCCACCTGAACAAAGCCTTGAAATGTGGTTTATGAAAGCGGGCGAGGCAAGCATGCGTTGCCTTTGACCACGCCCCAACATAGTCATAGTGATCAGTCAAGATGAAATCGAAAGGCAAGCCGTGTGCACATCGTACCCAAGAATGTTCCTCCAGCAGAGACGCAAGCTCAGCGCGCTGTGAAGCCTGGCGCATGCAAAATCAAGCCTTATCCCTGGGGGTGGGCAGGG